AGCATGCTCAACAGGCCGCACCGTTGGGCCGCGGCCACACATTGCCACACTGTGTCACTTGATAAACCAAAAAAAAAACACACACACGATCCTCAACAGTCAAGATACCCACCCTTTACACGTCTCAAGTTTCTAAAGACTCTAAAGGTAATAAAACAAAAAACCCTTCTGGCTAAAAGACTTTTGAAGGCCCAGTCACGACTTCAGTGTGCCAGACGCTCAGACCAGCAGCACATTTGGACGGCAGCTTGCATTTATGTGCAGACGCTCACTTTTGCACAAAAGCTGCGTTTGGAATTCGCGTGGCATTTTGGGCAGTATACATGTGACCCATCATGCCACATAACTATAACACACTTGCTCAGACTTGTCTTATCGAATTGTGATGTGGAATGAATCGGACGTGCAAAACACACTCCATCATATAAATCTTGATCAGAGAAGAAATTGGAGTTGGGAGCAGACCCTTCCCTTTCGAGTTCCAAAAAGATGCCAAATAAATTGTCGGGGTTGCCATCGCCCCAGGTAAGTTGCCATAGCCCAAGGGAAGGTTGATTTCAGATATCCGAAAGTAAATTGGCCAACTGTGCAAGAATGAAAAAAGAGTTTGAAACCTCTGTGAAATGTTTGTTGAAAAATGGCGAGGTGGCTCTTGGATTAGCCACTGCCCATCGCAGAAATTTGACATGAAAATTGAAGCAGGTACGTCGGTCCAGCGTCGCGGATCGATATTACAAGACGTCATAGCTGTCTTCGTTGGCTGCAGAACTATGACATTCCCCGCAGCCCCCTGCAACTAAAATCATGAAGGTACAAGTTTTACATCCATTGAGATGTTTCACCCTGCGCACACACATGCATACCTATACGTGTATACACACATATACACACTTAAAAATATTATATGTATATGTTTATGTAATTATATGTAAATGTCAATGTATGTATATGTATTTGTATAAGTATAAGTGTATGTATATGTATTTGAAGCCTATTATGTCTATTATGTCTTTTATGTATATGATGTTTTTTGATCTATATGATGTATATGAATATATGTATATCTGTATATCTGTATAAATGTTTTTTTTTTAAAAAATCTATACATCTATATTTGTATAGGTGCCTATATGTATATATGTATATATGCATATATGCATGTATGCAAACATGTATATATGCATATATCTATATTTGTTTATTTGCAAGTATGTATATATGTATATATATGATATATATCTGTACTTATTTTATCTATATATGTATATATATATATGTATATTTGTATATGTGTAAAAATATATATATGTTTCTATGTATTTATCATTATTTATCTATATATGTGTAGATGTATAGATGTATATTTGTATGCATGTATATATGTATTTTTCTATATATATATGTATGTATATAAATATACATGTATATACGTAAATATGTATATATGTACAAATGTATATATGCATATATGTATATGTGTATTTATATATATGTATGTATGTATATATGTATATATGTATATATATACATATGTATGTATGTATGTATGTATGTATGTATGTATGTATGTATGTATGTATGTATGTATGTATACGTATATGTACATGTATGTGGATACGGATATGTATACATGGGTGCAGCGAGTAAGCGCAGCTTAAATTTAGTGTCGTGCCGTACTTTCACGGATTTATATTGGATTTATGTTCTTCTTATTTTTGAGCTGTGGAAGCTGGTGCAATTGGTGCAAGATCAAGGTAGGGATGTGTTGTTTGAGCTTTTGGGTTTTGAGGCCGATGAACAGCTCGAGGCTCCCAGGCTGCGTGTTGGAGCTCAGGGCCTATCCGGCCTTTGGTCAGGATGCATCAGGATCAGGTAGTAATGTTATAATTCGTATATGTAATCTTAATATATGATTATATGACATGATCCTCTCCCAGGAAAAAATACGGCAAAACCGGGCAAAGAACACGCTCTGAGATCTCAGAGAGCTCAGGAGGAAGCGAGAAAAAAGTAGAAACCCTCTGACCCTCTGGCACACAGATCGATAGGAGTGCGGGGGATTGAAGTCCAGCAAAGCCAAACAACGGGTTTCTGGGGATTGCGGATGGTGGAAGTGAAGGGATGCATCCACAACTGACAGGCAACCCTGATGACTGCATGCGCATTTTGGGCGATTTGGCCCGTTTCTCAGTTTTGTCATAGCATGTCATAGCCAAACGTGTTAGCACGCTTAGTGACGGCAAAAGCAAATTCACAAGAAACACAAAGCCAATGAGTGCACCCGTATTCTCAAGATTTTCAAGATTTCTATGGTATTATATACCATGTATTACCAGTGGTACGTGAATTTTTATGCACAAAAACACCCAGGACTCAACGTCTGTCAGCAACGACGATGGAAGCGTGGATTCGAGTTCGTTCGACCCACAGCGTTTGATCCAGGTTGCAAGAGTGCAGATTTCCTGGTGAAATGCCAAAGACCATCGAAAACCAATGTTGGAAAACCATGTTAGGCAGTGGTTGAAATGCTTTACGCTAGTATCCGGTAGTCTAGGCAAGCAAGTGGAACGGGTCGACGAATTCTACAGCCGCGCAAGCCTTACCACAGCAAAGCAATGCACAGATTGCAAAGCTATTGAGCGCTTGTAAAGACTTGTGAGCTGAGCGTGGTGAAGACAGTTCAGGTCCGAGGGTTGTGCAAGCTCCCCTGCATCAAAAGGTTCAGGCGGGGAAGAGGCGACAGGCTTCAACTGGTGGAAGCTTGGAATTTCAAATTATTTGGTGACAAAGACGGCCTGCTTCATTGAACCGCCCAAACAATAATACCAGTATTGGAGAGAGGACATGTGGGAAATATGAAATTTGGCCCTTATGATATCTGATGATGATGCCTTATAATCCGTACCTTCATGTGTTTGTGTGTGTTTCGTACATGTGTGGAATCTTTTGGTCTCGTTTCTTTTTTGACTTATCTCACTTTTGGCCTTTGGCATGACATCTTGTTCGTATTTTATCCATTTTTATCCTATATTATCCTATTTTGCCTTGCCAGGGCCAGTGCAGCGAGCACTGGCAGATTTGGACGGAGAATCAGATGCCTCAAGTGTAGCAAGCGTGCCGGGCTCTGTCCAGTGCTAATATCCAAAAATATCCAGTACAAGACTGATATAGACTGATTTGAGTAAAGACTTAGAATGTACAGTATTACACACACACACATATATATATTATATAAATTTGTAGATTTATATAAAACACCTTAGATTTTTCGATTTTCCTCCTGATGTGCTGTGTCAATCCGTGCCACTTCGATCCGCTTTGGGCAACTTCAACTTCAGGGCCTGGAGATGGAGGGCGCAGTCCGTATCCTTGCTGCTTCAGTCAAGCCAACCTGGGCTCGCTTTCACGACTTTTTACGATGCTTCAGTAGAAAAAAAACACATTGGGCTCGATGAGGCTCTTGCACTTCGGCATACTTAGACTAGTCTAATGCTAGAAGGCAGGAACAAACTACTGTAGTCAGATATAGTTTGAGGTTTCCAAATCTGTATGATTTTAATTGATTTTATATGATTTTATTATACCCAACGGCTCTTGCACAGCATCTCACCCCAGCACTGCATGAGCCAGATGAAAGCCACATGAAAGCCATATGAAAGCCTCCAATTGTTCCTCCCAGTTGTGGATTAGCCTGATGAGGAAGATGTGCTTCGTTTCTTTCCTTTCTGTGGCTTCCTGATGTCCAATGGCATTCATTGATAATTTCAAAACACACATGGAATAAACATGTATATATTTTAAATTATACCAACCAATTAATTATAGTATATATTAAATTATATCAAACACTTATTAATATATACATATATACTAATATAGGACAAGATAGGTTTGGTCAATGTTTGATATTGGATGCTGTACTTGTATTCACTGCTTATGGCTTGCATCCTTGGACATCCTGTTAGGCTTGTCACTTGTCTCTTGCCAGGTCAGATGGAGGATCCAGCGACTCAGCCTCGTCTGCCGGGGGAGGATCCTTCGCTCGGACCCAAGTTGTTTTCTATGTCTCAGCGCCATGCAGATGACAGGCAGTTATGGGTTGGAGTCACTTAGGCCTTGCAATCTTCGATGTGGTCAGACCCTTGCGGGAAAGCTGTTGGGATACCCGACCCTAGCAGAGTTGCGGCAGATTCCTATTCACCTGCAGGTCTGGGGTTACCTACTCCGCTGCGTCATCTGCATCCACAGTCACCGAGGATGTTCTGCAATGTTCTGCATCTCAAATGTATTCGCATCATTTCCCGGGGGTGTATTTCACCCTTTGTAGATTTTTTAGTCTTATTGGCGCAGTTCCTGTTATCATGAACCCGTTGTCGCAAATTCCAACCCAGAAACAAGAAACAGCCAGGCATGTTGTGATTCAAGTACAGTGGGAGCACGGGTTGAGCTATTCATTTCACGTTGAGCAGGACATGCTGACTCGTCGTCGCCCTCTCCTTGAAGGCTATGCGCATGCTCTGCGACCTTTGCCGGAGCGCTCAGTTTGAGTCTCGCGATCTTACGTGACCCAAGATATGAGAGGTCCAGAATCGGCACGCACAAATACATGATACACAATGATAAACAGATCATTTCAATATAGGCTCGTCATGGCTCGTCGTACCATTTCCAAGAAAAATGGCCGGAGGTTCATGACCCGCGGAGACATCACACACCTGCTGTCAAAGTTTCCGCATCAGGCTAGTTGTTGTGGCAAGGGTCCAACACAAAAAAGATCAACATACACATCATTTATGGATTGACCAGTGCTCGAACAGTGCTTTGGGGATGCGGTGCTCTTGGCAGGTGCTCTTGGGTGGCACTAATTTTGGCCGCCAATTTGCTGCACACCGGGCTTTCCCGGCTCAATTCACACATATCCAGCAGCCCAATGCAAAAGGACAAAGTGCTGCAAGCCAAGGCGTGGCACACATCGACACACGTAAGGTGTTTGCAGCATTTGGTTCAATGCGTTTCGGCGTCGCCGTGTTTCCACGTGGATGAGCTGATGAGATATGGCATCTGACCGCAGAATGAGGTTGATGTCGTTGAGGATTTGCCTCCTAGCTGCTTGGCTTCATGATCTTGTCTTGAGGCAAAGGCTTGTCTAACAGTCGAACAGAGTCTAACAATTAGTCTAACAATCTCATCTCCTCAATATTGACCAAAAAGGAGCTCCAAATGACAGATCCATGCAGCCTAAACCAGGGTTTCTGATGGTTTCTGATGGTTTCTGGTATTTGGGACTAGGGATTACTAGGGGAAGGGATTGATTTGAATGTTTTTGAACCGCCTCGAACAAGATGAGTCAAGATGATGCTCGTGCCATACCCAGGCGAAATCATTTGCATATCATGTGGGATGCATGTGTGGGGTCTTAGAACGCTTGAAACATGTTTGAAAAGATGAAACAATATCAAAGTGTAAGGCATTTCAGGGCAGAATTGGGCGACCTAAGGCTGTCCAGTACCTGGAACAAACGAAGCTACACATGTGGTTATTTTTGCTTTGTTCAAGTTCTTTGCCAAATGCCTTCTTACATATCTTACATGTTAAGGCTCTTGTGCGGTCTCTGCATCGGATATGCTTTCGATACACCTGCCTGGACGCGTTGATGCGGTTTGATCTCAGGTTTATGTACATACTTCTTTCCCATCATGGGCGCTAGCTCCATATCAGGGGCCAAAGCCGCCCTGGAACTACAAGGCCTATCTGGCATCTTTTTCCTGTGGAGTTGTTGTGAGTTGTTAACTTATTGGCTTCAACTTTCTTTGGCTGCAGTGGGCGCAGTGTCATAGCTCGCAGCGCAAGGGTGCAACAAAGTGTGAATCCGAGACTGTTTCTGCAGGGCTACAACTCCTTTCCGGCATTCTATTTCGGCGCCAATGAGAGCGGACTAGTCACTTGTCGTCGAACCAATTGCTGTGAACATCTGTCACTAGACCACTGGTCGGACAGACGTTGAAGAAATGGAAGAACCACTTTCTGTATACCCTCGCTTCGTGAGGTCCTTTGTCCACTGAAGTTTCCTTGTGATTCCTTGTCTATAATTGTCTATATTTTTTTCGCTTTTTTGAGTCCGTGGCATTCTCTCAACTTGTGCCGTGTAGTGTGATGTAGTGTGATGTGTGGCAATGTGGCAATGTGGCAATGTGGCAATGTGGCAATGTGTGGCAGAACGCTTAAGGAGAATTCATCTTGGTTGCCCTTCGTGGCCCAACATCAAGTTGCTGGTTGGGGTTGGCAGCAAAACTTCCACTCAGTTGGACAAGACAGGTGTGGCCTTGGATTTCCTTGCAGTTTCCCAAGTCCTGTCAGATGACATTTCCGGCTGTTGCAGGTGGCACTACTCCCAGCAAGAGGCAGCTACGCAATTCTACACACATTTAACATGATATATTTGATGATATTTGCATGAATTCGGCCCATTTCAGCCCGTTGGCTGGGCAGTCTACACGTGATTTGCTTGTTTGCGGTGTTCACTGGCGAGACGTTTGACAGGTGTCCTTGGCTCAGATGGCTTCGAGAATGGCGACCTACATGGAGGTGACACCTGCAAGCCCACAGAAGCGCTTGCAGGCTATGGGTTACAGCATGTTGCAGCTGCATCTTACAAGTCATCTTGCATTGATATCGAAGACTTCTCAAAGAAAGGCTACTGTAGTAAATGAAAGTACCAAGTAACATCGTCTTTGGCAGACAATGGAGTTTGACAAAAAAATGCACCATCAACAGGGGATCTGTTTGGGAATGTTTCTTATTTTTGTTTTACAATGTTTTACACATGTTTCGCCCCCGAGATCTTTTCATCAGGCTCTCTTTGTATATCGCCATTTAGAAGTGGCAGAAACTTGGCCTGTCACGAGCTCTCAAGCTGCTGTAGCTGCTGACAATCTCAAGTTGTGCAACTGTATGTGCAGCCGTTGGAAGCCAAGGAGTGGTATTTCACCACCTCAGCCACAGCATTTCATGACCCAGGTAACAGAGTGACCTGCCTTGCAACAAAGAAATGTGCACATCATTTCAAAAATTGAATTCCCGAATGCTATCGAAGGTTGAAGGATTGTTTTTTGTATCCAGCACTTGTTCATTATGTGGAAACTCAATTATCGCAACATCTCGCGCTCCGACTGTATCCGATTATGAAGACTAGTCAAGATGTGAGCTGCCACCCGTAGTTGCGCTGAGGACATGTTCTTGCACGACAAGAATGGACACATTTGCAGCTTTGCTGATCGAGCGGGCCAGTAGGAATTTGATGAGATAGGTTGCCTAATGCGGGCAGGAGCTTTATTCAACATTCCGGACAGCACTGCTGACAGCCCCGACTTGTGGAGCAGAGTTTGTATAGTGATGCAATATGCAGGCTTGGCATTTGGCATTTGGTGTCTAAACCAGCGGCTTCACAGAACCGAAAGGTAAACATGTTTAAACAAAGCTCTACCATCATTGACATATTTAACAGTTAATTTAACATTTTGTTTAGATATGTTTAACATATGGTTTAAGATTGTTTAACTATTGACCGAAAATATGAAGCAAGACCGAGGCTGGGACAACTTTGACAACACAGGGCCATACTGGAACTTCAGCAGCCCGCGGGTCACCGAATGGTTCTTAAATGAGGTGGCGGCAGAGATTGTTCGAGAAGCGAATGTCCAGGTCTCTCGACTATTCTTGACTAGATCATACACTTTTCATACACTTCTTATATCTTCTTATCACTTTTCTATTCTATATATATATACTTTTCTTTGGCATCAGAATGGGATAAAAGTGATGAAGTGGTCCAGCATTTCGTTGCAACAAAAAAGCGAGGCCGTCTTCTTTGATGAAACGGACTATCTCTACTGTGGAGGGACTGCTGGAAATTGCAGTGCAGATGTTCATACTGGAGACGCTCGGCAGCTCTTGCAGATGATTCAAACAGATGTTCCAACCATTTCAAACATTTTCAAACATTTTCATACAGCCGTGGTTTTGTCCTGACGTTGAATATAGGGCACACCATCGGAGAATATCAGAGACACACACAGGATTTGCTCCAGCTTTTTGCGATAGCAAAATTAGCAAAAGACGTGACATCAGACTCATTTAGATGACCAGTCTTCACGGCAAGTGCTTCTTGTGCAGAGCATGGGGTATGTTCTGGAAGTGAAGGAGGAAGTCGTTTTGCAAAGTTTCACACGCCTTTGATCCTCCCGACAAATCACTACTTGTAGACTCTCTGAAGATATCACAGTATACAGTACTCCAATATAAAATGTATACCATAGTATATCATTATATCATATTTATTTTTATATTATATCATATTATGTTATATGATATGATTTGATATTATATTATACTATACTGTATCATATTTTGTTATATGATATTATATCATATGATATTATATTATATTGTAGTATGCCTTAGTATACCTTATACTTTTTCGAGTGGCTTTGGGCTCGTCTTTTTGCAGCACGTATAGCCACAAAATCCATATATAGATGGATATTGCAGGCTATATCATGCTATATCCATCGAACATCATCGAACATCATCGAACTAAGTAGGGTTTTATTAAGCTTTTATAACCTTTATAGTTCTTTTTCCCCCGCTGCGTTTTGGGAAGCGTCTGAAACACCATACTTCGGGTCAAGGCAGAAGGCTTGGCTCAGTACCGTGCCAAGCTGCAGCTACTGAGAAGCTTGGCCTTAAAGCTGAACGCGGCCAATGTGTGGCCCATTTACTCCAGCTTCTTGGATATGACTTTTGAGACACGAATGAAATCTTGTGAGTATGTAATAGAAAACGCTAGAACACACACACACATATATATATAATAATATACATACACACATACAATATATTATTATTATTATTATTGTTATATATACATATATGTATACATACACATTAATAGATGTATACACATATACATGCACACATACATACATACATGCATACATGCATACATACCTATACCTATACCTATACCTATACATATACACATACATATACACATACATATACACATACATATACATATACATATACATATGCACATATATATATATATATATATACAAACTTAGCGCATGTATGTATATATATATAATCATATCTATATATACGCATAAAATGCCGCATATATATATATATATGCATATATATATATATACATACATATATATATATACACATGCATATATACACACACATATATATATATACACATGCCATACCATACCATACCATACCATACCATACCATACCATACAGACACACACACACATAGTTATATTTATGTTTATTTGATCCGATTGACTAGATCGTTTTCCCCATGTCACATACTTTTCGTATTTTTATGTCTTTGGCGAACCCAAACTTTGTTTCTTACATGCCCGTTGCAGTCTAGATCTTTAAAATCTTTACATACGGCTGCACCAACATGCGCAATTCACCATGAGTCAAGGCTACAATGGTTATTCTGATTTGCCTTGGCGAGACTGTGTGATGCCATTCGACGAGTGACGTGCCTAAAAAGCGAGCTTTCTTCGTTGCGAATGAATTTTTCTTTTCGATTGTTTGTGGCTGTGTTTGTGTTTGCGCGCGAGTGTGCTTGTGTCCGCGCACGTGGGCGGAGGTATTATACCGCTCTGCAGGATGTGGGATGGATCCGGTTTTACGAGAAGCATAGCTGCACTGGTGCGACAGATGAGTTCAGGCCGCCGATTCATGCGGGCTGCCCTGTTTCCACCAAGCTTTGAGGTATGGCATTGGGGCAACATCTCCCAGTCCAGCCTGGGATAGCCAGGCGATGTGCATGCGGTTCGTGGCATGTGCACATATGTGCACAAGCAACTGTCTTTGGGCAACTTTGAGTCCCAGCCTGGGAGAAAATGTGCCCAGGAGAGAGAGATTGAGCACCTGTGACCCCAACAGTCGGAGCCTATCCTCCCTTGCCGCCCGTTCCATCCCATTGCTTTGTGAGGCAACACTAGCTCAGGCTTTGCGTGAGTCGGAGCTAGGCTTACCGGTCATGATCCGAGCACAGCCGTGTCATCGGCAGCAAGAAGATGATTTGAATGTCTGCAGAGATTGGAAACTGAGCTACCACTGGACATATAACAGTTTCATAATTCATAAGGTTCTTTTTGAGGGTGCTTACTTGAGATTCACTGTTATTATCTGTAATTTTTATCATTTTTTTCTGTCCACATTGTCCACAGCGTTGCTACAAGGCATGGCGCAGGTGCCACACTGCCTCTTGGCCTCTTCCTGCTGGCGCAGAATGACTTTTGGCACCTCGGAGCCCAGACAGAGCCCGGACAGAGCCCGGATACGCCCAGAGTGGTCGCGAAAAGGTCGAGTGGACCTGATCTTTGTAGACTTGGTGTATGTTTGTAGATCTTTTTGGGACCGGATTTTCGTTGCAGCATTTTGGCACATTTGAATGGTTTGTTCCAGCTGGATGAAGCTATGTTTATGAAATCTTATGACTGAGTCATTCAGGTATTTGGGCATTTCCACTGGTTGGCTGGATGAGAATTGGCAATGGTGGTCTGAGTATGCAGCTTGGTTTAAAGAGCAAGCGCTCCCTCCTGTGACATCCTGCCCCGTGGCTTTTATATGCATCCATTTCTCTCAGATTCTTTGTGCACATGTCACATACCGACATAATTATCTGCCAGGTGCCAAGCAGAGTGCGGAAACGCTTGAAACCACCACCAGATGTTTGAACTAATTTTGAAACTGTCACTGTCTGATGGTTTTCCCAGGCCACTTCCAGACTTTCACCCCCCCCGCTGAGGAAAAACTTTACGGGCACCCGCTTGGCCCAGCAGAGCTAAAGAGCGACGGATGGCACCGTAGCTTTCAACGATGTCAAGTTTTCGTGAGCCCCTTGACGGCCTGAGAAAAACATCCAAAACTGAACTGTCTTCTATTTTTATCTATTTTTAGGTCATTTTCTAAAGTCTTCCCGAGTCTTCCCAGCCACACAGTGATTTCAGGCGGTTTCAGGCGGCTTCAGGTGAGGGTTTTGGCTTATGTTTGCACTGCCACTGTGATCGTGCTTGAGGCAAAGACCTGAGCACCGCAAAAATCACCCTGACTGATGGCGTGTTCATCATTTGAAGATATTTGAAGTGTCCATAGTAAGACCAGGCATGCTGATCTCTTTCTTCTAAATATATCTAAATATCAGATGGTCATTGTGGTTCAGCAAGCAACGAGAGTTCTTTTTGCCTCACTTTTGGACAGATATCAGCAGGCCCTTGCGTGCAGATTTCTCTTTGCCATTCATGGGCCAAAAGTGCCCAGGTGCAGAGAGAACCAACATATTGACGTCAAAACACCTAGTGCGATTCGAGAGTGAATTCTTGATACTTTGTATTCCCCCCCTCATGATTTGGTAGCATGTATAATTGCCAAAAAACACCTTAAAAAATAAATGAATATATAATAAATAATGCTTAAATAAATAATAACATAATTGAATAAATAACAATAGAATAAACATAAATAAATAAATAAACACATAAATAAATAAATAAATAAAATAAATAAATAAATAAATAATATATAACTGGTATACACAAAAAGGCGCCAGTTGTTCCGATGTTCACCGGCACGTTTTCTGCAGATACGTGAAAGCGCACACACACACACAACTCTGATTTGGCCAGGAGCTCTTGGAGGAACTTTTCGGTCCGAAACCCATATCCGAAAACAACATGGTCATATATCATAGACACACGCGCACACACACAGCCAAGAAAGTCACTGTGAATTAGCACGATTAAAAAAGAGGAATGAAGAAAGAACACCACGAATTTGATGGAACTTCTATGAACTTCTGAGCCCTCTTTCAGGGGTTGCTTCATCGGTCAGGGTTTCTTATGTGAAGATTTCATTCGTCGCTAGTGCTCGACCAGCTAAGGCTCCCTTGTAGTGTGGGACTGGGCCTAAGGAACTTTTGTGAACTTTTACCCTGGTCCACAATGAGGGAACTTGGGGTTGCACAAATCTCAACTAGCATGGTCACATCACTTTCAGGTGAAATCTCCAGAAAGACGTGGCAGGCTCGGTGGTCTTTTAGAATTTTAGAAGAACAAATCCATGCTCTGCTTTTCCTGTTTAAACATGCAGGTTGTTGCATAGGAGAGAATTTTGCAAGATTTGATAGCCTTGGGGGCCTTTTGCGACTTTTAACATGCTCATGGAAATTTGATATGTTGCCATTGCAGTTCCATATCGATTGTGAATAATTTTCATCTTTTGTGTAGTTTGAACACCTCTGCAGGATACGCCTGGCGTTCGGGTCAAGCTTCAGGTATTCAGAGGAGAGCACAGAACCACTCACCTCGCTCTTGATCCATCTTGTGTTTTGCCTCAGAGGGCAACCTGGGCTTGTGTAGATGTTTGCCCGGTTGTTCGCATGTTGCTCTAATTTGAACTCATCACAACTCATCCATGCTTCATCCTCCTCAATGGCACCGCCCTTATTCTCACACTTCTTGCGTCAGGAGCCATACATGCTTGGGAGCGAGATGCCCAGTGCGGCTCAAGTCTAGGTTTCAGCAGTCCACAGTATGATGCAAAGAAAATGCAGTTTGTAATGCGGAGTGTGTTGGACAGAGGGTCAAGTAGCAGGCTTTTCACTACTTGCACTACTTGAAATGCATTAGACCGCTTGTGAGGTGTCATGACCACGCTGCAGTTCATGGGTGATGGTGTTCAGCGAATTGGTTTGATCCTAAGAATGTAACGATTTGCTGCGGATGTATTTGCGAAGCTTGTCATCACCTCCAGTGCTAGTAAAACCCACCAGCCATCACCAGCCCCTGGGGCCGAGGCAATGAGGTTTGTCCTGTGGTTCCAGAGGAGAACGAAGATGAGGAGTGGGCGGCGCTCCTCGCTTGCACGGCTCACTTGAATTCAGTTGAATTCTGTCCCTTATCAAGCCATTGTTGTAGACTATCACCTGATGTACTGTATAACTATTATAACTATTGTTGTCTATGATCCTAGGCAGGTCCTTTTAGGGTGCAACTTCCCTCCATATGTCTTTCATGCATTTATCCAGATTCCGTTAAAAATGGAGAATTATATAATATTATATAATGAGAATTACCGATTAACAATGTTCATTTCACAAAAGCATCATAGGCTGGTCTCTGACCACTACAAGTGGGAACTGTGTGTTCTTCCACATGCGACCCATCTGTAGTGAGCCAGATTTAGCTTGCAATTACAGACTAGGTCATCTATGAGATACTGGTAGATATGTATGAGATAAAACAGGATTTTGTATTTACTGGTGCCGCAAGCCAAGCTCATCGTCCACTTCTGTAATCTGAGGTCTGAGTGTGCTGCCTCAGCAGCAAGAGATGCGTGTGAAGACCTAGTCGGGTCAGTGGCATATATCATATATCCGTTGATGATATATGACTCACGCATCTTGTGCCATTGACGTCTTGTTGCCTATAGTATGCATATGAGGCATTCAGTCACACCCATGATTGGAGCCTGCAGTCTGCTGTAGCGGCAACTGTGGGGTACGGCCTTGCAGCTATGGCAGCTGTGATCCCACCATGATTCCCCGGAAAGCCATTTTCATGTTGGCAGACGTTGCGCCTCAGGGCTCCTGAGCAGGGCGCTCTGGAGTTTGAAGAGGTACTTGTACCTTTGACGGAGGCAAGCGGGGTAGGTACCATTTGTTTAAGGCACAGTGCTTGGGTAGGTGAACAATTTGTCCACGTCCAAAGACCACAATCATCAGCACAGGATGAAACAAACAACACCGGTCAGTTCTAGACGAATTAGTTCACATTTGGATAAGTTTGGTTGCATTATATAATCCATTTATTGTCATTTGTATGTTTACATATTGTTTTGGATGATGTTGATGCGATGTTCTGTGACACTGATGCCGGTGGAATAAAGTGATGCATTTTCTTTGCATTCTTTTCTTGATGAGTATTTTCTGCGATGTGAGCTGGAACCAGTAGCACAGATAGAGAAAACAAACATATCAGATCACCAGATACAATATATATATATGCAATAATATTCTCAGATACAATACACAGATATACACAGTACAATAATATCTATTATAGGTGAGAAAATTAAGTTGGCATTGAGATGCTCCATCCAGGTGTCCTCTCGAGAACTCTTCCTGGCGGAGCTGTTGCAAAGTGACCAGCCAGAAACTCAGCCAGAGCTAATTGCCGATCAATGACCTTTGATACTTGACCGCCCAAGACCTTGCTGACATTTCCAGACATTTCCAGACACTAAGACCAAACGCGATCAAACATGAGATCCTTCGAACGCAGTCGATGCAGTCCATGCACGTCCATGCTGCTTCAGGTGCCAGCTGCTGGCATCACTTTCGCAGGCATCAAAACCGCTACGTCGAAGTGACCTCATAAAACAGCCCCACAAGTCCACTGCTTTTCAAGATGCTTCAAGCACATTTCTTGCAGCGTATGAATGCATATGATAGATCAAGATGATCACAAGATGATCATGGTACTGTAGACATTTGTAGACGTTTTGATTTGCTTTGATCATGTTTGATCCGATGAGTCCAATAAATGACGGAACCAGGGCTCCCACTCGAAGTATGGACATCGTGCTTTACGACGGCGACGACGCACCTTGAGACATGTCACTTGGCATTTAGACTCACCACTGGTGTTCCGGGTTGCTTCACAGATTTGCCTCAAGGTTGTGTCCTGTAGAGAAGGGATTTGTATGCAGGAGGACCATGGAGGACCAACATTTGGTGTGTCTCAGTGTCTCTATGTATCTCTCCATCGCTGGCAATAGTTTCTCACGGCCAGAGATGAGTCTAGTGCCAATGTCAAGACTCGTCAAGCTTGCCCTCACAGGTGAGAGAAGCCACACAACTTCTACATGGAGCTGCCAGCTCAGAGGAAGTGGACCAGAGCAAGTATAATACCGGCAAGACATGTAAGAAAATGAAATAAGATGGACCACTCTCAACGTCAAGCCCCTCGACACGTTGAAAGGTTCCAAATGATGCCTGACGCGAGATGATGTAGATTGCAGCTGGCTTGTGATCCGTCAGACAGAGCGGCTCCGGAAGTACTACATTCTGTTAATAGGAAGTCTTGTGCCATAAAACGGTTGTCGTTCCATACAGCATGAATGTGAACAGTAACATGTATGTGCACATGTCATTGTATGATATTACATGTCAGAACGCGTCAGAACACGTCAGATCACGATAAAGGGCCGTCAGGCAAAGACTGCTTGCTTGGCCACTGCCACTTGATGCTGGATGAAAGTCTGTAGCCATTGTACGGCATCGCACGGAAACTGGAACAGGGGTCCTGCGATTTACCCAGGCAACCCGTGCTCCCGCAGCTTGTCTGAGCACACACGCTTCAGAAATAAATGCGCATCTTTCCAGGAAGTTCCCCAAAACCAGAAGGATGTACTGAGTACTGTAGTAGAATATGGAAGGATTGGAATGATTGTATGCGTGTTTGGCCTGATCTGCAGAGTTATCACAAGTCATCACAAGTCTTTATCATTCGTTATCATCTTTTGTCGTTTGTTTATTTTTGCTGAAGCTCCGCAAGCCAAGCTGCTGTGTCTTTATATGTCCAGACGATTCCAGACCACAACCGTGGTTTGCTTTGTCTTGTGCCGCTTAGTATTAGGCCTTAAGCGGGGGACGATCAGCCTCGGAGAGGCCATGAAACACCTGAGGGATCCTGAGGGTTTTGCAGCTCAACTTTCGAATCTTTCAAAGTCAGTTGAGTATCGTTGAGTCATGTTGAGCCTCAGGAATCAGTGGCCGCAAGTGGCCGCTTTCGGCGATTTCAATTTCCACCCCCAAAGCAACCCCTCTGATAAATTTAGATTTAGATTTGAGATGATTGGTGAGAGCTGATACTTGGAGCTGACTAATTACGTCGAGATGTTGAAGCTCAAAGCCCATCAGATGGCAATCCATCTTTCATGCCAGTACAGACTTAGCCCGACCCCTGGGCCAAGCATCATTGGCGGCAAAACGAACAGAATGAACAGAGTTGATTCGATTTTGAATGATTTTGATATATTTTGATCAATCGATATATCAAACATTCTGAAACTATGGTTATGAAACGATGTTTTTGTTATTTTTGCTGTTTTTTTGATTATTTTGGATCATTTGGGATTCATTACGATATTTACGATGAAACCTTTAGGACTAGGTTCTTGCACCATGCAGCAGTGCAGTCAGCTCGGCCTGGCATCCGAGACGTCTTGGCTTCCGCAAAGTCATTTGGGCTCCTAGGCGGTACATGGCGGTACAGCGCGCTTTTCACAGTTCATCCACTTTGGGATCTTTCATCCACTTTGGGTGATTATTTACATGTAAATGCATGTAAAGAAATCTTTGAATATCTTTGGTATTGATATGTCTTAAATGATCTTAAATGTTTATGTTTATCATGGTCTATTTGTCTCCAAACGACAATGTTCGCACAAAAGCAATGTCGCTGGTGGGACACATTAAGTCCCCGACACTCCAATGACACTCCAATGTATTTCCTCAGTATTTCCTCAGTTCTCCGAGTTCTCCGAGTTCTCCGGCCTCCTTGCAAACCATGGAAGACAAGAATGCTCATTGGGAGCAGCTTCAGCCTTGAGTGATGGCCCTAGGATCCCTAGGCCCTAGACTGCGTAGTCAAATTTACAGAGGCATTTAAAATATGTTACAATCAAATGCAAATTAGCACAGTTCTTAAAATACAAGGTGTACACATACAACACTACATTTTTTTTAACTTTTGCAGTACTTGGATCCTTGAAAGTGCAGGGTGATGTGAGCTGAAATGGATGGATGTTCTCGCGCGCCGCGCAGCTACAAGCTCTTGTACAGAAGCTCTTATACGGGAGAAGTGCTGGCAAGTTTCCTTTCAAAATTTTGCTTCCGTCTACAGTCATTACCCGCCATGGGATTGCTTTGGTCAAAACGCATTGGTGCACCACATTTTCTTGCAGAGTCCCATGAGAGCACAGGATTTGAGGCGAAAGATGAACAGCACACAGATAACTCAGATAAGAGTAACAGATATTGACAGACCATGGCTGACAAGAACGGACGATCGCTCCTTTTTCCCTCTTGACCATGGAAGCCTTGCGAGCTCCAGTGGATGCTATCCGCAGGCGGCTGAACAGAGGGCCACTGAGAAGCACTGATTGTGGCTGATTGAGCATAGGCATAGGCATGCGCAAACTTATTTGCTCACCAGCACCCTGAAGACACAGAAAGATTTGCAGTGAATCATGGGATATCTTGAGAGGTTCCGTGAGTCCATTTGGCCAAGACAAAACCATAGGCAAACTATGGCCAAATCATGCGGGCATTGTAAACAGTTGCAATATGTTGCAATAGAACAGAATGAGAAAAGCAGACAAACACCTTCGAAGCCTTCGATGTGGCCCCCGTTAAGACAAGGATTGCTTTGCAGCGCGCTGTACCTGCGTCAGAGGCCTTGCCACTTTGTTTGACTTGTAGACTCTTGTGTTAATATTTATTAATTTCGTTGAATTACTCTCCCGAAAACTAACGTTGTACAAAAAAAATAAAATGGGTTCCATGTTAACGCACCCATGTTAGATTTCATTAGCGGGAAAAGTGCCAGGTAGGTGCCATGTTGGTGTTGGTATGTGCTGGTGAATTTGATATTTTCGGGCACTTTTTGGCTACTTGTCTTAACATGTCTTAACATAGAACCCCACAAGCTGCCATTTAGTGCTCGTTGTGTCCTGCAGTTTGTTGTTGCCAGGTCCCTGCCCGGTCGAAGTCCTGGAGCCGTTGTGTCTCCCCCGTTGTGTCTCCCCCTGTTGGCTCCCCGTTGTGTCAACCCGGAACCCAACTTGGAATCCGTTGTGTGTCCCACCGTTGTGAAGTGAGAAATGGCAAGATTTTATGTCATGTAAAGTTTGAGAAACATTTAAAAAAAGAAGACGATACAGACGAGAAGATTCTTATTCCCCACCTGCCAGGTGAGGGTTGTTAGATTTTATCACAGTTGTTCTCCTCCTCCGCCTCCTCCTCCTCCTCCTCCCTCTCCTCCAGCTTCTCCTCCACCACCTTTGCATCCACTTCCATGTCCACTTCCGCCTTGCCAACTCTTCGCCAACTTCCGCATGCAGTGGGCACTGCTGGACCTCAACTGCCGGCGTGCGATAGGAGTGGGCACCACTGGACCTCAACCTGGGACCTTCCGAGCTCAGTGAGCACCGCTGGACCTCAGCCTGGGACCTTCCGAGCTCAGTGAGCACCACTGGACCTCAACAGCCAGATAGAATGCCAGAAGATATGCCAGATAGAACGCCAGATAGAACGCCAGATAGCATGTCAGATAGAATGCCAGAAGATATGCCAGATAGAACGCCAGATAGAATGTCAGATAGAATGCCAGAAGATATGCCAGATAAAATGCCGGAAGATATGCCAGATAGAATGAGTTCTGATATGCCAGATAGAATGCCACAAGGTATGCCAGATAAAGGGCCAGAATGTTTGCCAGATAGGATGTCAGAAGATATGCCAGAAGATATGCCAGATAGGATGTCAGAAGATATGCCAGAAGATATGCCAGATAGAATGTCAGAAGATATGCCAGAAGATATGCCAGGTAGAATGCCAGAAGATATGCCAGATAGAATGCCCGATCGAATGCCAGAAGATATGTCAGATAGAATGCCAGAAGATTTGCCAGTAACAAAGCGTATAAATGTCATGGTGGGGATCACTCGAAGTAAAGTAATTGTCTGTATTTATTTTTCTTTTGTATATATGTGCATATAAAAAAATCAAACATAATAATTTGCAGAGGCCGAGCCCCCCTGAAACAAACCAACCTGGAACCCAACTTGGAACCTAAATGGGCACCCCTTGGACCTGGTAGGTAAAAAGGTTATCTTGACACAGTGTGGTATGTTTGCAGAGGCCCAACCCCCCAAAACAAACCAACCTGGAACCCAACTTAGAACCTAAAAGGGCACCCCTTGGACCTGGTAGGTAAAAAGGTTATCTTGACACAGTGTGGTATGTTTGCAGAGGCCGCCCCCTGAAACAAACCAACCTGGAACCCAACTTGGAACCTAAATGGGGGCCCCTTGGACCTGGTAGGTAAAAAGTTTAGTGCTCAACCAACAGTTCCGGGAAGGCCATCGAGTTCCCGGAGTCATCAGCCATTCAGTTAGCGGAGACAGAGAAAACTTTCATGTGGCTTCCACATAATTTGCTGGGTGCTATGTTTAAGTGGTATTGCGATGGCTCCACCCAAGTTCAAATCATGATACCGCGAGCGCAATACGAAGTGAAAAATAGGGTCGCCCGAAAGTCACTAACATGGAATTTGCAAGAACCACGCCTTAAAAACCACTTGGGTTCCAGCTTCGAATCACCCTTCAAGATTGCAGATCGTTTTGTGACGACTTGTTCAAATTCCATGTTGGCGGTTTCAGAGTGCAGTTTGGGTTCAGTTTGGGCCTGTAGTAGGTTCCATGTCAGTTTTGGAGTGATTTTATTAGAAAGTCAGTTGCGTGATTTACAGGGGAACAAAATCCACTTGAGACCGTACCATAGGTTCATGTTAGGGGACCTTTAACATGCAGTTCCATGTCAGATTTGGGGAGTGCACATTCAATTACCATATTATATAGCAGGAAGCATCAAAGCACATCAATAATAATTTCATGTACTGTGTGTATCAGTATATTTTGTTTGTTCCCATAGATGTCCCCCCCTGAAAGGGAACTCATGCTTTCAATGGCGGCGCAGGTTAATGCTCAAGCCGTTCGAGACTTTTGGCAGCTCGTCGATAGCTTGTCAATATTGATTCCAAGATGATCCAAGGAGGCGGCGTCGGACGTGGCGTTTTTTGGTGGATCATGGTGGATCGCCTTGGCCAACCGTCGTTCACCAAGGTCCTCTTTGTCAACGGAGGTTCGGATGGAAGTTCTGCGCTTCACTGACTCCACTATAGTGCAAAGAGTCCATGACTATATGATCAAATTGCTGAAGGCAGATGCTCGGCCAGAAAATTACACGGACAAGCAATCATGGTTCCTTGCAGTGCCCAGGTATAAAGTTTGTCAGAGAGATCTACCTCTAACATCTTTCAACAACTGCGAACAAAATGCTGGACGTGGGCTGGTAGGTTCCAACATGCCGTGGCAAGATACAGCAGGAGGCAAAAGACACATCATCAGAAGATATCCTGGAATTCTTGGCGGCATGCCAGTTTTGAGCGTAATTAATAAGCAGCTAGGCCCTAGCTAGGCATGAGTCTTTCCAATTGGGCGGTGTTGAGTTTAGGACCCTTAGACTCAGAAGTGCCGGATGCGACAGATGATTTACAAGTGTGGGTCTCTGAGGATATTTGGAGCCGAATGAATGATGTCAGCATTGACGGAGACGCCACTCGGCCTATCTTCACCATGCCACAAATCCACAGGATCTGATTGTTGCAATGTAGGCGTACAAAGGATTCATATGGATTTTTATAGAAGGGACAGGCCGAAACAGACATGCAAAGGGGGATGCAACATGTGACGAAGGGTCCAAAGCTTTAAATGGGACAATCCGGGACATTTTGCACAATGATTGCCTGATTGCCCGTTCAGAAGGACTGTTTTCTACGCATGTCTACGCTACGCTGCTACAGTTTCCATCAGTTTCCATCAGTTTCCTTGCATGGGTGGAATTGTCAACTTGCAGGGGTAGTATGATGCAATGCAGTATGAGAATAGCTGTCTATGGGGTGAAATCCTGTTTGGACGGTAGTTTTGCGGTGTCAACCGCATATCATTTGAGATATCATGGTGTCCTGAGTATGAGTCAAGCAGAGTAAAACTGGTGATAACTGGTGAACCTTTGTAGCCCAGAGGAACCTGCGCCAAGACTGGCGGGCTTCGAATTCGAAGCGCCAGCAGAGCGCGACTGCCTGGGCTCCCTAAGAGCGCCCATTGCCATCATGGTGATTTGACTGCAAAAGACATGCAAAAGACACTCAAACGCTACAAGACGCTACAAGACGCTTCAAGCTGTTCGTGCAAACGCTGGCAACGACTGGGACAAATGCAAATCCTTCCAATACGGCAGTGTGATGCATTGCAATTAGGTGTGTTTGTCAAATGACCCCGACATGACATGCTTGAAATAGCACCATACAGCAGCCCTCTGGACTGTGCTGCTTGTAACTTGCCGTATTGTAGTTGCGGTAATTCCAATGCCTGTGAGTCAAGACTTTGTGCAGTGTCGCGCAGCTTTCGGAGAACGGGCTGAGCCCAAACCAAGACAATGCATCAAAGAGATTCAAAGATATTTAAAGAGGATAAAGAGGGATGCTTGATCAGAAATTCTTAATGATATGGCACTGAAAAAAAGATTTCGTCCACATGCAACTGCTGGACAGGCGACCGAAGAGTTTGCAGCAACTTGGAGCATGTTGGTTTCAATCGTTGTGGTGATGTGGGACGAAAAAGTTGTATTAGTCAAGATGGTATCCGGTATCACAGAATAGCTCAGTCACTTTGGGAGCGAGGTACAATTCATTCGTAATGCTTAATGCATCCTTAATCAGAGCCACTATGCAGTGACAGTTTCAATATTGCGATTTCTCCGTAAGAATATCCTTTTCAAGTAGTGCAATCGCTTTGAACAGTCCGCTTCTGGATCAAGGTCAGGGATGAATAGACTTTACAGATCTTTATAGCAATAGACTTACTTTAAGGATTTTTAAGGACAATGTGAGATGTGTTAGCACCTGCACGTGCGACCATGTCGACCATGTGCCATCGCTCGTGCGCTTGAGGCAGATGAAAACTTGATCCAATCGCTCGAGCACAAGTGCCTTGACCGCAGCTGATTGGTCCTTGATGAAGCAGAGTTTGCTCTAGCGAAACTGAACATGCTGGAAATTGGCGATGTTCATAACTTTTCCAGGTTCTCAATTTTCACATGGAAGCAGTGCTTGGTAAGATTTGGTAAGTATGCTGTTTGCATTCTGTGTTCCCTGTTTCTCAGGCTGGGCAGTTCGTTGCTTACCGGCCGTCCTGCTTTGCAGCGGAAGGATTGGAGTACAGTCACTAAGCTGAGATAGCCCGACCTCTGAGCGCTTTATGTGGAGCGATGTGCTCTCCTTACTTTCCTTACTTTCCTTACCTTTATCTTGGCACAAGATCCACATAAAATCACTGCAAAACCTGCAATTGCTGCACTCCTTTTGACTTTGTACCTCCTGTGTTGGACCATTGCACTTCACAGATCGTCACATTCGTTACGCTCCAGCATCACCTTGATGGGCATCATGGCACCGCAAGGGTCTCTCTTGTCATCTCTTGTCATCTCTTGTCATTTTGTCATCTCTTGCTCCTTCCGACTCCGGAGGTCTTTGATGTGTCTCCCAGCTGCTGGGAAGAGCTGCAGGATCAGGTTTATCGCGCCACAGCAGCATCAGAGCATCAGCACTAAGGCATTAAGGCACTTTGTGTTCACCGTGATGCCACTTGTATCATTTTGTATCCACTTGTTATAGGGTTTGTTCATGTTTGTTCTTATGTTAGCTTCTGCCGTCCACACACGAGGCTTGGTAGAGCTTGCCTTGTTCCATGCAGAGCCTTGGCTTGTAGCTGGTTGACCTCATTTGAGATTTACTTGACATTCATTTCAGATTAATTTGGCATTTACTTGACCTTTGCTTGCTTTTAATGACTTTCAGCGACTTTCCTTTTGATGAGACGGGGGCCGAAAAGCTTTCTGCAGGGGCGTGACCCATATTTCCAGCTGATGCGGGACGCACCTCCACAGCCAAGAAGCCGCCGGCGCAAGGCTTGGCTTAATGTGTGATAAGGACGGGCAATGGACTGAGGGAAGCTTGATATCCCTTGATATCCCTTGACATCATGATGATCATTTGCTTCAAATCGATGAGGATTTCCAGCAACCCGGCAGCTTTTTGTTGTTCCTGTCAGGTGAGGAAGCCTGTTGCCAAGTGCTTGCCTCAACCAATTCCAGCTTTCCGTCTTGGCAACATAGCATTCAAATGCACTCAATGCATAGCTTGGAGTACGGGGTGCAGAAAAGAAACGCGTCACCAATTGATTCTGGCTGGAAGGAAAGGACAGGCTGCCGCTTCCAATGCTTCCCCAGAGGAGAAGGCCAAAGTGCCTCCGAACTGTTGGCCTGTCGCTGCGTTGCTGTTGGCATAACCAATATAATCAACATGCGCACCTTCAACTTGTATCATCAAAACCAATGACAGAGCGTTTCACTCGTTGGGTGCGTTCCTCATGAACAAGTTTTGGATTATCGATTATCGATCGATTGAAGGGCATGAGCACATACGGGTGCAGTGCACTACAATTGTCGCAGTTACAATTACTCTGATATGTTTTCAAGAGTCATATTGCACACACTACTCTACAATGTACATATGACTGAGTAGGTCTGTACATGTATCCAACACTTCACCTCAATCACACCCACCCATCACCCATGAAAACAGAGAGAGAGAGAGATTTGAGTGTGGATACGCAGAGCCCTTGAGTCTTATTAACCGAAAGGAGGATGTTTTGGCATTTTGTCCTTCGGTCGTGGGGTTAGATGGTTTCTTTTAGAATTGGATTTAAATTTGATTTTGGAGTTTCAGATTTAGTTCAGTTCACCAAAAGTGAATTTGCACGAGAAAGCTGAGGGAATAGGATGGAATAAGTGTACAACTTACATCAATTTATAACATGTCCATCTGTTTGCAAGCGGTGTCCAGTATGCAGCACCGGCACACATCAGGGTTGCAGTAGGCATGTTTCATATTCATATTGCAAGTGTATGGCCAAACTTTTTACCGTATGGTCGGACGTTGATTTTGTCCATCAACACAGGTCCTCTGATCAGAGTCAATTTCGGCATGTACAGTTCCCAAATGTCTTCAAAAGCTCCAATGTCTGTATTTGATCTGAATCCCCCACGGTTGGCCAAAGCCTGCCAGACGAATCTGACAGGCAAGTGAGAACACGGCTGCTGCATCAACAAATGATGATGCTACAACGATGGCAGAGGACCACCTTTTGCTTCTCGTTTTTTTTCTCCTCCCTCTCCTTTCTATCAGAAGCCCTGTTTCACATCCATTGTCGCTGGCAAACATGCCAGCCTTTAAGCCTTAAAGCCTGTAAGGACAACAGCAAACTGAGCGACAGAGAAGGCAAGACTTGACACGACCAATATGCCTCCAAACTCTATAATATATATGCACAGAAGATATCAGAAGATCACTTCTAAGGATCACACCTGCTGTAGCCTCCGCAATGAAAGGATTGGAGCGATTCTGAGCACCTAAGACGGGTACTTCATGGTATTTTCACACTGTTGCTTGCTTGGGCAGTACATTGTACCATTTCTGTCTTGACAGGCGAACCTGAAGTGGACGTGCAGTCTGAGGCTGTAAGTGAGGACCTTGAAATGCATCGACGATCATGTGCAGGGATATTTGCAGTGCAATGCAAAAGGTAAGAGATGTCAACAAACTTGAAGCGGGCATATAAAAAAGCCTCATGAAGTTTGAAGACAACCCTCAACAAGATATAAATAGGTCCAACGTCATTCTTTAAAACAGATGTCACACATCACAGTCTTGCCAAGAGCAGCGACGTTCAGTTTTAGATAGTTTTAGTAGTATGTTTAGTTCTTGAACAATGTCAATCATTCCCGTCATGTTCACATCGTTCCCACCACAAGGGTACCTAACACATGGCAGATCGAATGGAAAATTTAGAATCATTTCGAACCAAAACACAAACAGGAATCAATATCAGAAGAATACCATATCATCAGGGGCAAGCAGACAGATTGGACATGGCAATACTATGCAATGCGGAAGTTCATTGCTACAGTGAATGGTTGTGGTACTCGAAGTAATGATCTGCAGGAGATAAATGGAGAGGAAACGAATCTGGATGTGTCAGAGGATGCGACGCCCATGGACGAAGCAGAAGGTGGAAGGCCCGGCAGGCAGCTTGACTTTCCGTGAAACATCCTGAAACATTGTGAAACAGTGCCAAGACTTTGGTCTTGAAACAGGTGCGAAGACATTGGCATCATTCGGTGCTTATGCTTGGAGGGCATACAAAGCATACAAAGCATACAAAGCATACAAAGCATACAAATGTACACACACAATAATACATATATATATATATCTAAACACACACACATACATACATACATACATACATACATACATACATACATACATACATACATACATACATACATACATACATACATACATACATACATACACACACACACATATATATATATATTATATACATATTCATGTTATAAGATAGGATTGGATCATATTTGAGAAGCGTCCGCTGGACAGCCCCGGGCCCACGGCCCCTACGGGCCCACGGCCCCTACGGGCCTACGGGCCTAGGGGCCTACGGGTCCGGACATGACATGGACGGAGCCATGATCATGATGATGATGATGATGATGACGATGACGATGACGATGACGATCATTTTGATAATGATGATGACACCGATGATGATGATGATGATGATGATGATGATGATGATGATGATGATGATGATGATGATGACGATGACGATCATTTTGATAATGATGATGACACCGATGATGATGATGATGATGATGACGATGACGATGACGATCATTTTGATAATGATGATGACACCGATGATGATGATGATGATGATGATGATGATGATGACGATGACGATGACGATCATTTTGATAATGATGATGACACCGATGATGATGATGATGATGATGATGATGATGATGATGATACTGAGATACTGAGATACTGAGATACTGAGATACTGAGATACTGTTGAGGCAGATGAGGTGCAGGATGCTGATGTTGAGGATGATGAGGTGGGAGGATGATATGATGTTGAGGATGATACAAGCGCTAGCCTTACTGTAAGTCGTTCAGCTCGTAAAAGTTGTTTCGGGAGGCCGCCTGGAAAAAGTTCAATTTTGGCGTTACCACAGCTTTTAGTGATTGAGTGATTTCATTGTTTGAGGGCCGTGTTTGATTTCATTGCTTGTAATGCGGGAGATGAAGTGGAGGATGATAAGGTGGAGGATGATGATCTTGAGAAGGATGATGACAATGATGTTGAGGATGATGATGTTGAGGAGGAGGACCGATCCCAAGACCCAGGGCGCTGAACAACAAAGTGAGAAAACATCTTTGACGATGGCCGGGACCCACACTTTGTGCGAGCCTGCGCAAGCGAAATGCACATGGGCATGTTGCAGGAGCAATTTTTTTTGCGGAAAAGTACAGGTAAAAAACCCGAGACCAAGAGGAAGCCAAAGTCGCGCCGCACGTTTTGTGCGAGCCTGTGCGGTCGAAATGCACACGGACATGTCGCAAGAAGCATTTTATGCCGCAATTTATAGGACAAATGCCACGCCCCAGGAGCGCGGAAGATGATGAGATGCAGGATTCTTGATGTTGAGGACGATGAGGTGGAGGATCATGATGTTGAGGATGATGATGTTGAGGAGGACGAGGATGAGGATGACCAGGCGGAAGATGAAGTGGAACATGATAAGGTGGAGAAAGATGATGTTGAGAACATCCCTACCCTCTTAAAAATGAAATTTGAGGGGGGGGAGTCGTACTGAAATTTCATTTTAAAATTCCATTTTTGCAATCATGCTTTCTCAATGATCAATATTCCTCATCATTCCATGTCTTTGGCAAGCAGATGAAAATTAAATACTTGTGCTTGCGCTTAGCTCCGGAGGAGCCAAGCACATGTCAGACTGAAGCAGCACATAACTTGCGCTTAGCTCCTCCGGAGCTAAGCGCAAGTATTTTCTAACCAGTGCCCAAGGCTTGTTAAGAAATGTTACTTTACAATTCCATTTGAGGGGTTGGATCACTATCCCAGGGTTTCCAAGCAAAAAAAATGGAATTCGACAGCTTGGTTTTGTCCCCCCCCGCCCTCCCCCTCTACAGGGGTAGGGATTTGAGAACGATGATGATGATGATGATGATGAGGATGATGATGATGATGATGATGATGTTGATGATGATGGTCATGATGATGATGATGCTGATGATGATGATGATGATGATGATGAGGACGACGGCGATGACGTCGACGACGACGACGACGAGGATGATGATGATGATGATGATGATGATGATGATGATGATGGTGACGAGGTGTTAATGTCCAGGAGGATGATGAAAAGGATGATAATGTTGAGGTTGCGGAAGATGAGGTGGAGGTTGATGATGTTGAGGAGGAGGACCGATCCCAAGACCGGGGCCCACGCTTTGTGCGAGCCTGCACAATCTAAATGCACATGGGCATGTTGCAGGAGCAATTTTTTTGCGGAAAAGTACAGGTAAAAAACCCGAGACCAAGAGGAAGCCAAAGTCGCGCCGCACTTTTGTGCGAGCCGGCATCGACATGCACATGGACATGTCACAGGAGCAATTTTTTGCGGAAAAGTACGGGTAAAAAACCCGAGGCCAAGAGGAATGGATGATGAGGTGCAGGATGATGATGTTGAGGATGATGAGGTGGAGGATGATGCTGTTGAGGATGATGATGCTGAGGAGGATGAGGATGAGGATGAGGACGATCATGCGGAAGATGAAGTGGAGGATGATAAGGTGGAGGATGATGTTGAGGACGATGATGATGACGATGATGATGATGACGATGACGATGATGATGATGATGATGATGATGATGATGTTAATGTTGAGGACGATAATGATAATGTGGAGGGGATGATGAAAAGGATGATAATGCTGATGTTGCGCAAGATGAGGTGGAGGTTGATGATGTTGAGGATGATGATGTTGAGGAGGAGGACCGATTCCAAGACCGCACAATCGAAATGCACATGGACATGTCACAAGAATTCATAAGACTAAGAGCAGTCTTATGTAATTTCATGCGGAAATTTATACGTAAAAAACCCGAGACCCAGAGGAAACCCAACTCGCGCGGGGCCCCGCCAGGGCACAGTGGCCGTTTTCTGCCATCGAAATTAAAAGTCTTAGAAACAACGGGCCTATCCCCGTAATCTAGCTTACGGGCCCACCCGCGGACCCAGTACGGGGGCTAGGGCCCAGGTGTTGGCTTACGGGGTCCACAGTACGGGCCTACGGGCCCTACGGCCCGCGGGCTGGGGACAATGGCATCTTATGTTGGGGAGCTGTTTGATCTCCTGAAAATTCAGAACCAAATTCTATCAACCTCTGCCTCGGTACACTCCCTAGATCCCGGAGTCTTGGAGACCAAAAGCACGTAGATGACCATTTTCTAGCCAGGATTCGCTTGCGCTCTTGCATCATTCTCGCATTTACAGTGCATGAACGCAAACGAGAAATGCCATTGGATGACTTTGCACCTCGTGAATCATATTTCTGCCTGAATTGGGATGCCCATGTAATATCTTGCTCACCTGCAAACATGAGTGTGCTGTCCTGTGCTTGCGCACATTTGGCATTCGGGTCGGGAGAATCATGCGGTTGCATATCACCATCATATCACCATAGGTCCCGGGAATAGGCGTAGATTTGACTTTGCCGGGCTGTTGCCGCGAGAGGGTTGAGTTTACATAATATGATCAAAGTATAATACTGTAATTATAGTTGCGGCTGAAAATTTTCAGGTCCCGACCTAGATTTCAAACCCACAGGCGATCCATACCTCCATCCGTCCGAAAACGCAGCTGATCCGGAACGATCCATAGGTATGGATCACCGCGAAAAAAATCCATACCCGGTTTTTGAGCCACAATCATATATGACTACAATGTGGTTACAATATCTTTCAACGAGTTTCAATTTAAGTGAAGAATATTTCACAACATATATATATATATATATTATACAATTATATACATATAATATTTAATATATTATGTGTATTTGTGTGTGTATGTATTATATATTCGATATATTTGATTTTGTCAAGATTTGCCAGCTCTTGGGTCACAAAGCACTGGAGAAGGCCAGCCCCAGTCGCAGAGGCGAGACTCCCAAGGCCGAGGTGCCATGACCCTGGTCGCATTTGGTCGTGGATGCTCACAGAATTTGGCAATTGCAGAGATTCTGCACTGCATTATAATATATTATAATATATTATAATATAATATGATATATTATGATTATTATACAATATCAATCAATATTATACATGATCATACTGCTTGGTACTATAATTGAAGGATATTGAAGGTGTGCAGTACTATGCAGGACTGAAATCCTGGAAGATCGATTGGGTTTGTTGATGTTTCTTGTTCTCGTATGTTCTCGTCCTTTTAGGGTGTGAGATGGTGTGAGTGAGTAGAGCAACTGCACAACTTCCAGGCTACGTTGGGACAGTGGCGAGCAAGCCACTTGTTTCCAGTGGTTGCCAGACCTCTTCCAGGCAGGATTTGTTTGGTGAAATCGTTTATGGCAGGGAACAACGCGCCGTCATATCGCACCATTATTCTTCTCATTCAATTGGCACATTCATGCATCAATATAATTCAATATCTTCGATGTTTAGCATGATTCTTGGGCGGTGCAAGTTTGCAATTTGAGACAATAGCGTCAATAGCATAGTTTGAGGGATTCAAGGGCATTTCAATTGAACCAAAGTCAAGTCAAGGGAAACATGCACTGCCATTTTCCTGCAATTGCTCTGTCTTCCAGGACGGAAGTCACTTTCAGCTAATGCAGTACAGACCCTCGGTGGCATTCATATTATCTTGATTTTGCATGATTGCTTGCAGATGCTCTATTACGCTGTATAATGGATATGATATGATATTGAACTTTCAGCCCATATCATCCCACATGATTCCACATTCTTCATTCTCCATTCATCCCGTCAGGACATCGAGATGCTGCAGAGTCCAACATTCCTGTTGCAAGGGCTTTTGCTCCTTTGATGCAGATATACGCAGATGATCGCAGATGCACTTGTCCGCCTTCCCGAAATTTCCCGTTCCCGTTGCATAGTCAGCCAGGAAAGTGTGTTATATTGTTGGCATTCAGTGACCCTTATGAGCCTTGTTGGCCCACTATCATACTATCAGTTGATTCAGTTTTATGGGGCGCTAAGCCCAGCCGCAGCCGTGCCCCTGCCCTGACCGTGCTCAAGTATTGCATCGTCCCAGAGCTCGCGTGCAAGGTGCGAAACACCTTCGTGCATGTGGAAGTCCTCGAAGAGTAACATGGTTTGTTTATCGGACCGGAGGACAAAGAGGACAAAGAGGACAAAGAGGACCAAGGAATGCTTCAGGAAAATGACCTGGTCCAGGGAGGCCAACCTGGGAGATACAGTTTTAGAGTATCACCGAGGCATGGGAAAGATTCAGAGCTTCGCCGAAGTGCATCTGAACGCATTTTGGGATGATGGGATGAGATCCTCTCAGACTGCCAGACCTTTGCTGGAGCATCCTTGTAGGACGTTCTGGCTGTCTAGGAGTCTAGCACTCTGTACACTCATATTTGCTGCAGCGGAGTTGCAGTGTTACAAATGTCGCAAGTGTTGCTTGAGAGATTCGGTAAGGCCTAGCCGCAGTTTAGTTGATGCCTTGTGGCCAATCCTTTGGTATGTAAGACTACAGTGAAGCATTTGCAAGTCAACTTCTAGGATGTGTTGGCTACATGCACTACTGCGGCCTGCTTGCCCTGTGATCACACATCACACTGATTCTGCAAATTTTCAGCTTTGTGGTCCCTGAAGCTACGAGCTGCTGAACCTGGAAGGTGAGCGGATTCCACATTCAAAGAATTGCAGCGTTGCCGTTTCAAAACTCGGGATACCTGGGGCAGTAAAACAATGCGCAGAATTTGTTATCATTGCAGAGTGCAGACGCTTTCGTCTCTTAAAGCACTTCCACCATCTTCCAGTGTCACAGTGTGGCTCAACTTTGGCCGCATTTTCAGACATTTTTTCTCATCGACTTTGGCCCTATGTGTCGGTCAGCGCCATCTCCTATGGCTTATGGAATTCACTGGTTTGACAGGTGTCAAGGTGATGAATTTTCGGAGGGTTGCATGACTTAAACGAGTCAGTTGGCTTTAATTATTTAGGGCATTTTAGAGCTACGACCAGCTCAATTTGGACTCCTGAAAAGATCAGGATGGAGGTTGACATGCAGGGTGAAACACAGGGTGACCAGGTCTCACCTTCAGCCAATGCAGACGCACCGGAGTTCGAGCTTACTGGCCGCAACAGCCCAGTATTCCATTCATTTCTGTTCAGCTGACTCTTTCTAATCAAGATTTTCTGGTTCTCTTCTTGTTGAACCAAAGGCTTATAGCGCTTATAGGGGTAAAGGTTTGACAAAATTTGTCCCTTCTGATTTGCTGGGGGGTCACCCGTAGTCATTGGCAACATTTGGCAACTACTGTTGACAGGATTCCGCAGGGGTTTGCAAAGTGATTGGTTTGCAGATGATTGCCAGCGAAACATAGTGTTTGTAGATTTGTAGAATTTTGTAGATGGTTTCCAAGCAAACTTGGTGCCAACCAGGATCCTGCCAACAACTCTTGTACAGATCCCTTGCTGCTTGCCAGCATGACTGCATGCCGAGCAAACATAGGGGAAAAAGAAAGAAAGAGGCGCGCAGTTTGAAGTTTGCTGGTGCCAGTTTCTGATCATCAGCCCCGCGCTTTCTGCTGACTATCATTCTGACTGTCGTCGCTAATCATCACTTCATGTTCATCCATGCTCCAGGTGTTTGGTGTGGCGGCCGTGCCCTCAGAGCAGCATGTAGTTGGATCGAAGAATATCAAAGAAGGACATTTGAGGATTTTAAGCTTTCACATGGTTCAGCAAAATTTGGCATATTTTTCTGTGCTTTGGGATGCTTTGGGTATCTTTGGGTACTTCTCAGGCTTGGACTTTGAATGATTCTTGTTGTATTTTGATGTATTTTGATGTCGTGCCTTGTGATGAGGCTTGCACTCACGCCATTCATCATTACAGTAAATGTTGTGTCACAATGTCATTTTCCTTCGGTATTTGCAACTTTTTCCTTTGACTTAGTTTCCTCCTTACACATCCTTACACTTCTTACACGTTGTTCATCGTATTTATATGTATTTATTCTATATAGATTCTAGATGTCTCATCGGCTTAGATTCGGGGCGGAAATATACTGGTATAGGCTATAGCCATGTATAGACTGTAAACAATCATAACAATCCCGGTCTCAAGATCATTCTTGACCTAGTCTCGACACAGACCCTGTCGTGGCACAGATTGGTATGGACTGTGGTACAGTATAAAGCAGCTCTGGATGGCGTGGCCGCTGACCGGCAGCTATTTTGGCTTTGCGACTCAGCCCTTCGCAATGCATACAGCCGGCACGTAGAGGCTGGACATCCGCGGTCAAACTTGTGTTTGATGTGACGAAGTCGAAGACAGTCAAAGAAGACAAGACGATCTAAGACGCAAATTGTTAATTGAGTTGGGGAACACATGAACACAGGGCCCCTCGCATACAGCACTAAGACGGCACTGAGACACTGCAGTATCTAATCTAACATTTTTACGTTTGTATATATGTTGTGATTGTGAGGTGCAGCAGCCCCATGGTACGCGGGCTGCTTTTTTTGCTTCTATGTCAAAGACTTGCGTGCCATAGCAGCAGAGTTAGTTCGGAAGACAAACGGGCAGAGTCGAGATAGTCGAGATAGTCCAGGGTAGTTCTCCCAAATGAATGGAAACCTTTGCCAAGTCATGTTAAAGGAAGCAACTGTACAGACTTGCTTCAAAGATTTTCTAAGTATTCAAAGCTCCATATGCTCGATGCAGTTGCAGTACAGTGCAGCAGATTGAACTGCACGTACAACATTATGTGCAATTCTCCAGTGGAAAGGGTGTGTGCTGAATGCAATGCAGCGAATCTGTTCGGATTGGGCTGACGATCAATTTGAACACATTTGGGATTGTGCTTGAGGGCAGACTGGCTCGATGTGGGCAACGACATTCCTGCTTTCGACCGAAGTGCAAACAGTCGAACGGAACTGCATCGCTACTATGTCCGTCGCTGAGCAGGGCGATGGCAATTGGACAAGTCCACTGTGGCAGCATGATATTGAGTAAGGACCATGGACTGCTCAGGCTATTGAAGATGTGAAGTGACAAATTGATGGAACTGAGGTCATTGAGTCGGAGAAGGTGGTTGCACGCAAAGGAGAACATGTAATTGACCAACAGGCCATCACAGTTGCTAACCAACAGGCTTGCATGATTCTATGTGCCTTGGAAGCAGCAAGTGAGCTTCAAAGATTCAGAGCTGGCTGTCTTTTATTACAGCATCCATCGATATCCGATATCCATCTCTTCTCAAGTCAGACGATCAGTCGTTGCATTGCACACATTGACGGGAGCCCATTTTTTGTGGTTCGCTGGTTCGCTTGCCCAGGCGACCAGGACTGGAACGCTGAGCCGCTGAGCCTGGTGATCGGGTCATGTTGTATATATATATATGATTTCACAAAATTTGTGCGTGTGTACGTGAAATATCTTCAGCTAGGGAAAAGGTAGCTTAACTTCTCAATTTCAATGCTGCGCAGGATGTTCTGTGTGACTGCTCGATTTATTGGCGAGGGTCAAGGAGAGTTTGGGGTTTACTGTGGAAATTGGACACGTGGAGCTTGCGTAATCAACTGTGGTGGAGTTTGACAATTGAGTGGCTTATATACACAATATATCATAATATATTATATGTGTGCGTGTATGTGAGCTTATAAAATCCTACAAATCTATAATTTCTAATTGGACAATATTGAACAAACATCAGAGAACTGAGAGTAATTTTCCATGGCGGTTCCATGGTGTTTTTTCCATAATTCCAGTTGTGCAGGGCCTGTCAACGATGGAGTGGTCTGGGTCCTAGATGCTAGATTCCAGCTTGTGACGTTTTATATAAGCTTAGAAGGCCTTTGAGAAGAGGAGGATTGTATTCGTATTCATATTCATATTCATATTCATATTCATATTCATTATTTGTTTGATTTGGCCAAGAGTCCTTGCAGGCTGCCAAAGGCACTCACAGAACTTCGTGAAAGACAGGTCAGTGTCAGGGGCCCTGACTTCTCCAGGGCTTGGCAAAGTTTGGCTCAGCAATGGCTGAATTCAACTATAGCACTCCGTTAGCACTCCTCATCCAGCACATGTGTGCTCAAAATTGCTCAAATATGTTCCAATCTTTCTGCAAGATTGTTGCTTGCAGGGCTGCACATCGTGTGATTTGTATTGATTTGTATCCTTTGATTTTGCTCTGCAACGGGGCTTTGCATGGTACCAGCACTCCTAGCGCTGTTTGAAAGTCACACCGCCTTGCGGCCTTGCAGCATATGGGTCAGCGAATCCACTCAGGTACACCCTCATGAAAGTGCCAAAGCTAACACCAGAGTACAAGGAGCCATCTCCTTAGCTTGTCGCATTTGCAATGACTCGCGCCAAGTGCGATACCGTGGAGGACTTTTGAATAGGGCGAGAGGATTTTGTACCCTTTCGATTTTCGGTCCTTGAAATTTCATGAAATTTCAATATATTTCAACATGGTTCAACCCTTTTAGCAAGCAATAGGATGTCCGTTTTGTCCCCAATCGTTATCCACTCATTAGGTACAAGCACTACGCCTCTGGAGCCTTGAGTGGTTTTGGAGGCCTGATGCAATGCCGGTGTCTCTTCTCTTTGCTCTGATGCATTTATCATCATTTATCATCATTTATCATCATTTATCATCATTTATCATCATTTATCATCATTTATCATCATTTATCATCATTTATCATCATTTATCATCATTTATCATTTATATATCATCATTTATCATGATTTATCATGATTTATCATTATTTATCATCATTTATCATTGTGTTGCACTGCTGCATTGGACAAATAATGTTAAATACTGTTGGACTCGGACAAGAGAATGAAAGAGATTCTTGACAATGAATTGTGCCGGGCGCTGGGAGGTGTAACGGAAGTTTCTAAGCCGCAGCCAGATGCAGTGAGAATGACACAACCAGTGTCACACGTTGCTACAGACTTGTTCTAGACCGTGACAGCTGGAATCTTGAAGATTGGCTGTGCTGCATCCCACAGGTGTTGGTGCAATTATATTATAATTTAGAAATAACAGTTTTTTTTTTGAAATTTAGTACTTGTCAAAACTTTCGGAAGAGTTTGCACATCAGTTTTGTACACGAGGTTGCCAACTCCCTCGAGTGTCAAGACCGCTGTACGGTCGATGCCAGCTGTGACTGTGCCGTGTGGGCGGTGGATGGCACCTCCAGGCTGGAGTATAGCTGGACCTTGTTATTAAATTTTAGTAAATGCATGTATAATCATGTGTAAAAATGCTAATCAAATCTAATCAATATAATATATATATATATACATATATCAATATGACATCATCAATATGATATCACATTGAATCATTTGAATCAATATGATCACGCCTTCTTATAGCCTTCGTATGGCATAAATTACCCAAAGGAGCTAGCAGCTAGCATGATTCTTCTGGGGAATGCGTCTCATCACCACATATCACGACAAGTGAGGTCTCCGCAGTTTTTGTGTTGGTCCCCTCCATGTTCCTCCGCTGAGGCTCAGCCCCTCACCTTGGCCAGCATTCGACAAGCAAAGGAATTAAATACCAAGGCATAGCAGCACAAGACTAGAGATGGATAGATATGGATAGGACAAATTAGGAAAACAAGAGCATTTTAGCAATAGCAGCGTAGCAGCAGATGAGGTCTAAGATTTCAAGTTCTTCGCAGCGCGGAACTGTACTGCCTTTCCACGCCCGTGTGTGAGCACACTGGACGCGCTCATCTAACATGCTGCAATATTATCTATAAAGTCCCTGGTCCTGGTGGTGGGCAGACACTATATATAATAGCTTCTTGCGCTGCGCCCCCTCAATCCAGCGCACCTGGCCTTCGCACAAGAGTGTGATGTAGGACTTTAGGGGGGCTCGGACCACAGTCTCATGTAAGCTCACTAGACTTCAACAGTTTCGGCAGCACTTGTCGCTCGCTTGTGTTTTTTTGATCTTTTCTGGATCTTTTTGGTACTCGGAAGGTGTTGGACAATGACAGAATGTCAAGCATCCCACTTCAGGCTGTTGAGGGGTCGAATGGGGAAGGATGTGTGGTGTGCATGGAATTTCGTGTAGCAAAGTCATTCCCAATCATTCTCAACAACAAGTTGATTTGGCATGATTTGGCTCTCCGGAATCAGTGCAACATACACACACACATTTGGTTGGTCTCTTTTCTTTCTCATCCTTTGACTAATATTGCTGATGATGTTGTTGAAGGGGGTTAACAACACCAAACAGGATGAACTCGGATGAAGGGATCAAACAAGCATGTTTTGAAGTGGAGGCGGATTCCAGAATTGTAATACATTGTAATCACATGCTACCAAACCAAAACATGAACCAATGACGGCATCATAGAGGGACATTATGAAGACCTTACCTTATGGGGACTTACATGGACTAGTCTATGCAGACAAAGGCATTCTCAGTCCAACGCGACCACGCTCCAGGTTTGATCCGATCTACTCGACTTTTCTAAAGAACAATGCCAAGCGAGTCCACGTCGAGATGACAACCACTGCAGCACGGCTGAATTAATGTGAGGATAGTGACGGGTTTGACTTCCCCTGTTCTGAGCCGGCTATCTGCATGTGTCCAGTCCGCTCTTGGATTGGATCGGTTGGTTCTCCACTGGGTCTCGTACGCTAGCTTCCTTTGGGATCCTTTGGGATCCTTTGGGATCCTTTGGGATCCTGGACGATTGGTAGGCCACAAAGCTTTGTGGTGCCGCAATGTGCCGCATACCCAGGAACCAGCCTCGGAATGGATACCAGTTGTGGTGGCTGATGCAGATACCACGACCAAGGAGTGGACGTTGTGTGGCAAAACAATGGCTTGATCCTGCAAGATACCGTGCTCCAGTGTTTTTGCACCGATCTATCTGTATATATATAATGATCTAATCATATCTAAACAGTTGACTCTCGCTACCTGCCGGCCTGCAGGGTCTGCCTGGACTGTATCTGGATTGGGTCGTTTTGTTGCAGATGCTGCTGCCAGGAGCCTGCTGAGACGACTGAAGCCTCAGCAACTTCGGTGTCCGAGGCAGCTGGCTTGTGATATGCTTGTGATATCTCGCAACGGTAAACCATGAGAGAGAGAGAGAGAACGTTTCCACTGGCAATTTTCCCTGGAAAGCTCCTGGATGCCCCAGGCTACATCCAGCTCACCTGATTGGACTTCCACAAGTGCTGCCTCAACAACGACCATGAGCACCACAACAACCACAACAACCACTACAACTACCACGACTACAACAACCACAACCACCACAACAATGATTCCCGGAGCACTACTAGTAACTATGACCATTCAAACCCCGCTCCTTGGTGGCATGATAAGCGGTGGAGGCTCAGGTGGACCTTTCCCTCCGTCTTCATGCCCCACTTCGTTTTGCAACATCCATAGATGTCCCTAGATGTCCCTAATCGCAAACAACCTTTGCATTTGTGCCATGACATGGGGAGCCAAGGTTCTCCCATGAAATGGCCGGTGGAGACAAAGCCTTTCTGAAACAGACGCCTGAACAGGCGCATATTGTTTGTGTTTGTGTGTAAGTGCGCGCTTGGCATCGGGGATACTAGTTTGGTGTCGCAAATCTGGAGAAGGGGAGAAGATGGGAGCAGCATGGAGCAGCACAAATCAGGGCCAAAGGGAACTAAGATGAAATGCAGTGAACAAAGTTTGTGCCTTTGATTCACTAGCCAGATCGACCAATCGCAATTCCACTGCCGTTTATGATTGGTGGCAAACTCTCATCATTTTCCGGATGTGATACACCCTTCAAACGCGTGCAGCTGAGGGATGTTGTTTCATCATGTTTCATCATGTCTTTTATCGGAACCAAGCAACACGCAGAAAGACGACAGCCATAGCCAACTCCATGCAAACAAACTAGCACAGTCTAGTATTTCCGACACAACCTACTCAGCTACCAAGCAGAGTTGAGCGAAGACTAGACTCCAGACAAAGGTATACAAAAGTTATATGTACCAACTGAAGTTTCAGATTCAGATGGCTTCAGAACTTCAGGAGATCTCAAACCTTTTGCATGCGAAATTCGGTCAGTGCTGTAGCTGCTTCCATGCCATGGCCGCAAGCAGCTCGTCGGGTGAGAAGAAAAAAGTGAAGAAGGTGCGTAAGGGCTGCACCCTTTTGCAACAGCAACTCACATTGCTTACATAATCATCATACTCTCTCATTCTTACTGCATATGTCCACCTGTGTGTCGATGAACCTAGAGTGAGCACTGCATAGACCTGCCAGAGAACAAAGTCTCAGGAAAAGAAGGACAAGAAAGAAAAGAAAGACAAAAAGGACAAGAAGGACAAGAAACCCAAGAAGTTGCTTGGTAAGCAATCCCAGAATCCCAGCTGAAAGGGCGACTTTTTCTAGCCTAAGCTTGACCCATGGGCTAAAGCTGATTAAAATCACGGGGATTTATAGAGACATACTGTACTGATGATCTGACCCATATGAACATAAATTCCGTAACACACGTTTAACATCCTTTAGCAATGGGGCCAACCGTTTGGAAGGCAAGTGTTGCACCTAACTGCTTGACCTTGGTTGCAACATGTTGCAACAATTGGTTTTGGATCGTTTTGCTGTTCTCAAAGTTCCACATGCTGCTCCGCGAAAAAAATACGACTGGACATGTCCGATGGAAATTCATAGCTGAGACGTCCTTTTCAAGATCCATGTCATATTATATAATTAGTTGTTTGTGGCATATAGTTCGTATGAAGTGCGAACATGGACCTATCCATAGATTGTATGCAACCACGTTCAGGAAGGATGATGAGAAAGAAAGGCCGGGGCTCAAGCGTCTCATTTGCGAGTCGATTTTGCTGATGTAAAATGGGTCCGACGGGTCGAGTCGGGTCGTCAGCACATGCTACAGGAAGCGCGCCGAAAGAGCAGAGTCATGGAATTGCGAAAGGGGGGACGCTGTCCGCCAGACTCTTCACTGCAAGTGCACAAGCTCCCAGTACAAACAATTCAGCATGGCAGTGCTTCAAATGGAAAGGGTCTTGAATTCTCCAGAGATCAAAGAAGTGCATCAACAATTAAAAGGTATACAATGGCAAACATACTTGCACTACATCACACAACATTACAATACAGTGCATTTACCTTACTCTGCATTACACACATTTCTTACAGTATATACTGCACATTACCCACAGTGTTTACACAGCATAATTACATACATTGCACTACACTACATACGTAAAAAGAAACATAAAATGCCTTGCATACGGAACATACGGCACATACGTAATACATGTAACATCCGTGACATGAGTAACATAACATGTGTGACATGAGTAACATGCACAACATTCGCAACAGACACAACATACATAACATGTATTACATATATGACATGCTTAACGTAGGTTACATACGTACATACAGACAGACAGACCAACAGACCAACCGACTGACAGATCTACAGACCGACAGACCGACAGACCTGCAGACAGACATACAGACCAACCTACCTCCCTACCTGCATGCCTGCGCGCGTGCATGATGCATGCATACACGCACACTTATTTATATAATCCAAATTCAGAGAGAGAGAGAGAGAGAGCGCGAGAGCGAGAGCGAGAGCGAGAGCGAGAGGGAGAGGGAGAGGGAGAGGGAGAGGGAGAGGGAGAGGGAGAAGAGAAGAGAAGAGAAGAGAAGAGAAAAGAAAAGAAAAGAGAAGAGAAAAAAAGAGAAGAGAAAAAAAGAGAAGAGAAGAGAAGAGAAGAGAAAAGAAAAGAAAAGAGAAGAGAAAAAAAGAGAAGAGAAAAAAAGAGAAGAGAAGAGAAGAGAAGAGAAAAGAAAAGAAAAGAGAAGAGAAAAAAAGAGAAGAGAAAAAAAGAGAAGAGAAGAGAAGAGAAGAGAAGAGAAGGGAAGAGAGGAGAAGAGAGGAGAAGAGACGAGAAGAGACGAGAAGAGACGAGAAGAGACGAGAAGAGAAGAGAAGAGGAGAGGAGGGAGAGAGAGAGAGAGATCTCAGATAGATAGATAGATAGATAGATAGATAGATGGATAGATAGATAGATAGATAGATAGAAAGATGGTTAGATAGAAAGATAGATAGATAGATAGATGGATAGATAGACGGATAGATAGATAGAGATAGATGATAGATAGATGGATAGATAGATGGATAATATAGATATAAATATATATAGTATAGTTTTAGAAATGTAAAAGTGTCCATTTGAAATGGCAAGCATTCTTCCGCGTGCTTGCTGACGATTGAATTGAATACCGACTAGGGTTTGGTCACTGGGCCGGACTATTTTGGAGAGACTGGAAGGGAATTGTGTTGATTGTCTCGGAGTGAGCTCCGACAAAACTTGTCTGGCCACTACAGGATTGGTGCGTTGCTCCAGCTAGATGCAGCAGTGGAGGAAGAACTGGATGGAGTGTTTGAGGCCTCAGGAAACCAAGCAACTGTTGTTACTGTACGTAGTTGCGGAGTATTACTGAGTGCTCCAAAATCGAGACCCACTGAGAATCCACGCTCTTGGTGGCTGTATCATGTTTAACGTAGACATGCGAGTGTGCGATGTAAAGTAGGCCTGCGCAAAGCATTTTGCGCTTATATGATTTTTTTTTATGCGATCTACGCCCAGGCTTACAATCGCACACATCCACAAACTCACTGACTGTAGAATCTGACCCTATTTGTAGCTGATGTTACTAATTAAATATACAATTATTTTTCTGGGTTCCCAACTGTGAATTCGCAGACAAAGTCATCCAAAACACAAACATACTGTATGCACATGATGACATGCACACACACACACAGTACTCGCGTATGAGCGCTGATATGCCTACATAGGCACATGATGCGTGAAGGCTCCAAGTTTTGCATTATCAAACCAACCAACTTTGTATTTGGAGAGGAGGTCCTCACGTCCTCACTTTTCTTCCCTAAGATGTGGAGTCTTATTGCGTGGGGGGAGCAACAGGGCCCCGGGTGAACACTGCCAAAATGAGATGTCATGGACGTGACTAGATCATGCTAGATCTGAATTTGCTTGAAAGATACTGGCATATGTGTGTGTGTGTGTCGACGCGTGTTTTGTGGTCAAGCGTGTGTTGAAGTGTGTTGCGTCGATGCAGCTCACTTTCCAGTTTGCATTCGTTTGCGTTGGCAGCTGCCGTGAGCGCATGAAGTGGTCAGGCAATTGATGATGGTGAGATTGTCCGCATCGATGGTCTTCAGAACAAGCAGGTTTGGTCCCATGTCACAACTCCGTTGGATTCATTTGGATTATGCGACGATACAAATTGAATCTGGTGAGGTCAAAACCCCAATAGCAAAGGTCTGCAAAGGTGCAACGAAACGTCCCGGTTTTTTAATTATAAGTCAGCACGATTGAAACCGGTATCGGTTGATGTTTTGTCACTTCCAATTTATGAATGGCTCCTTCGCGAATGTGCGCCGAAACAATTCTTGTCCAGCTTGTCCTTTGGAAGCTTCCAGGCGCGCAAGAAGCTCAGGCACTTGCTACAAGCCTTCCGATTGACACAGGATGGAAGAGCACGCTCTGGCAGTTTGCCAATCCACAGCCTTCTACAGCTTCTAGCTTGTACAGTAACTGTTTTTTCATAATGAATCAGGAAGGACATTTTGCAGAGTTGCATGCCACCGTTCCGGCCTGACTTGTGCAGGAAGACAACGGGCAAGCATACAGGAGCTGCGAGTTGAAAGTTTCCTTCAAAAGCATCTATCAGGAGTGTTTGGAAAGAGCGAAGGAGCACTTTGCGGCACAGCCAGTTGAAAGTGTTGATGCGCCCGAGCCAGAGCCAGCACAAGAACAACCAGAGCCGCTGGATCCCCGAGCCGGGTATTCGGGTGAAGCTGAAGAGGCTCTGCCAGAAGCGCCGGAAGTGCCAGAAGCCCCCCGAATCAGGGGCCCTCAGCTGCCGGGAGCAACCGTGGGTGACGTTGGGGCAGACAGCGCTTCTGAATCCGACGCAGAAGCTGGACCTCGAAGAGAAGGTGAGGAAAGAGAAGGTGTGGATTTGAGATATGTCGTCCCGAAGAAGTCTCGCCGAGAAGAGTGGATGACTATGGCTCCAGAGAGCATCTCTGCGGCACTTCATCAAGATTGCCACTCAATTCATTTGTGGAACGTTATTCTTGTCATACTCTGGTTTAAGCTGGTTGGTGGTTTGCGATTCGGAAATGGCAAAGTTCCCAAACAACAACTTGGAAAAGGCATGGAAAAGGCATTCTAACGAATTTGAAGATTTTTGAAGGTACGGGATATTAATATGGGTGGAAAGTGCACCCAACACTGTGTAGCGATAGGCCCTCCAAAAAGATTACATTTCATGCCCACATCTGAAGCTGATTTGCACAAAGTTGAGTGCACATGCAAGAGGCGAAATTAGCGATTCCCCTAGCGATACCGTAGCGATACCATTTGTTCCAAAAATAGTCCCAGACCAGGGATAGAACCTTTTCTCCTTTCCTTTCGTCTTCCTTTCCTTGTCCTTTCCGTGCACAGATTTGTTCCTCCATCATCCTTGGAAAAGTACAAAAAAATGGTTGGCGATGGGGCCCCGATACCCTTGTTTTTGCTAGTGGCGCTGTTAGCGACCCCATAGGAAAACGCCCATTTTGACATTAGGTCATTTGTTGGTTCTTCGGGGTTTGGGTGGCAATAATGTTCAATATCACTTGCATACTTCGATCATTTTACGTCTCTTGACGCCGCAGCTCAGTTTATGTCATTTGTTGATTCTTGGGGGTTTCGGGTGGGGGCAGTGGGGGGGCAATAATGTCCAATAGCACTTGCATACCTAGATGATGCTATGCTACGGCACGTCCATGTCGCTTGTCACTGTTCATGTTAGGTTACTTACTTCATGTAAAATATGTAAAGTTAATCTTCAAGAGATGACTTATGATTGTTCATGTTCGTTATGTTAGGTTACTTTATGTTACGGGGTGTCGTTTGTGATTTTGCTATATAGACAGTTTTCTCTGAACAAAATATGCTCTGGCGTTTTGCAATTGGGGTCACTTCAACAGCGTCGCGTTTGTAAAGACCTATGCGAGACCAGTTGTGGATGCAGAATGTTGGCTTTCTGCCGCGTTTTCTCCCAATCAAAAATGTGGTGAGATGTGGTGAGATTAGTGATCTGGCTATTGCGGCAGGTTTTGGTTGAGCAAGTTGAAAATTTAATTTTGACGGCGGCTCATATGTATAATTGTAATGATATATATATATATATGTGTGTGTGTGTGTGTCTGTCAATGTGTGTGTGTGTGTGCGTGTATGTGTGTGTGTGTGTACCTAGATTTTGTTTGTTTTCAAGTAATCCTCTTATTTTCAGATTCCAAAGCCGGAGGAAAATAGATATGATATGAGAGTTTGTTTTCCTCTTGATCAAGGGCCCTGGGCGCGGCTGCTGCCAAAGCCACTTTTTTCAATTTTGTTTTTATTTTGTACACATATTTCACTTATTTCACCTCATGGCACCGATAGGCACGTATGTAGTTCATTTGACGGGACTTTTGGGGGCTGTTGGATAAATGAAACGTGAGATTGGACCCAGGTGGACTGGTCATGAGACATTTAGCCAATTTTAGCCATTTAGCATCACAACACGTGTCAATAGCATATAGGTAGACGTAGAATGAAGTAAACACAGGTGTAAACTTCGACATTCAAAGTGAATTTGGAAGATCGCTACAATGAAGCTGGAACAGGACATGACAGGATAGAGATATGAAGCGCAGCAACCGTGTGTCTTTCCCACCCTCGGTGTTGCTGACCCAACATTTGGCTGCCACGTAAATGGGACTCGGTCAAAAATCCCTAGTAAGGAAAAGTCAATCAAGTTGCGAAATTAATTCTAGACAATAGGTTTTTGGTCTTCATTATGTAGCGGGCCCCCAACTAAACACGGCGTTTCTGCAGCTTGGCGCTGGGTCTGGCACTGGGTTCGCGTTAGCAGTGCGTTAGCATTTTTTGGTTTTAACATTCCCAGGAAGTAGTTCACTTGTACATTCGGCTTGGCATTGGAAGGAAGTTTCTTCGTATTGGATCGTATCAGTATTGAGTGGAATTGGCATGGTATTGAGATGATGTGACAGTTTGTTGTTTGCCACCAGTATCCGCAGTGCTTTGCATTGATATGGGCGTGTTGAGTTTCGCAAAGTTCAGTCACTGCATTTTGATGAGAACCCCAGTACTTGTAAGTAGTGCAGTCATCCGCGCTAGATCCGCGCTAGTGAACATGTGGCAATACCAGCCCTGGCCCAGAAGTCAAGCATTTGTTGTGGCACTTCTTTAGGATCGAAACGTGAGCGGGGTTGGCGTCAAATGGAACTACCAAAGATTTGGGGAAGTACCAAAGAGTAGGGCTCGAATAGGTTGGGGAGGCCATGGCCTGGTTGCAAAGGTTCGTTGAAGGTTTGCCAACAACGTGAAAAAAACATCTTCAGTTGGGCGTTTTGTTTTGGTGGCAGTTGCGTGGCCAAGGGTTCCGTTTGAAAGCAAAGGTAGAGACAGAGACAGACAGAGACAGACAGAGACAGACACAGGTACATGCATACACATGTACACTCCCTGTTTTCCAGGAAATATAGATCCCATTTTGTATCATTTTGTTCTTTCTCGCGCCTGAGGCTTCAGACGTGGCGGTCTTTCGTCCTGCTTCTTCTGAGCCGAGCATTGTGAACCGCAAAAGACTTGCCGTCAAAAAGTGTTCTGCACTGCTTGTTGAGTGAAACTTGGAGGAGGCTTCAATAAACCAAGGCTCTGATCACTGATCGTAGAACCGATGTGCCGAGTAAAATCAAATTGACCACTTGCAGAGTCATTACAGAGTGCGATTCAATGGTCTGGAGTGTGGAGAAATGACTCGTGTCTCTTCACTCGGTCATAATTTAATGCCAAGCTTTGGGGGTTGCTTGCCTTAGAATATATTATTTTAGAATGATTCATGGCTAACTGCGGCACAGATCGTATCATTCCCGAGTGGATTAGACACTGTTGAACTGCAGAAAAAATAATGTTGCAGGCTGCTCAAGGGCTTCACGACGAAATGAAGGCAGGAATAACAAGCGCACATTGACATTCACTTTGAACCATCCTTGAATCAAATTGACGTCTTTTTGGCATCCTAATTAGTAAATTGCAGAAGTGGCGACTGCAAGATGGGATTTGCGCATTCTTTTTGACAGGAGATGCCTTTCACAGCATCGTTCCAGAAAGCATTGGCAGTAGAAATGGACGTCCAGGAGTGTCGGTCGTTTTTGTGCGGTAAACGTGAAAGATTCAATGTACATAATGAAATGCAAGAACACTTGGAACATCAGCAAGAACGAGAAAGACGGTGACCGCTGCTAGATGATAGGGCCAACGAGCCAATCTCCCATCCATCGTTTTCCAGGAAGGTGACGTGATCCCTCTCAATTCCGCGATGAAGTTGCAAGTGGTCACATGCCTGCAGTATCGTGCAGTAGCTGCTTGCGAGTTTTCCCCAGGTCTTGAAGACCGATGGGCACGATTTGTCGGGCCTCTTCATTCATTGCAACTGAAAGTGGTGCCTTTCGCATTAATTCAAATACAACGAAAGTTTTATGAGCAACATTTGGTCTGTGTTGCGTTTTTTTTTTTGTAGGGTACTACCCACGCTTGCAAGCTATGAGGAAGCCGAGAATTCTATGTCCATTTCTGTGGCTGCCAAGGCAACTTGGAATGAGAGAAAGAACCCCACACCAATCAATCTTCGATATTGCCAGGGGATGGAATTTCAGGGAGCATAAACACATTAACAACCGATGACAACCGCATAGTAATATGATGTAATTAATATGCAATAATTCTCAATGGGTTTTCACACGCGACATGCGAAGTAATCTAGAACGTCTAGAACGTCTAGAACCAAGAGCATGAAACGCAGTGGGATGCATCCATTTTCATCCGTTTTTGCACAATTGGTTTGAAGCCTTGAGCCTTGGTGTGATGAAGCTGTCACCATTTTTTTTTAGCAGACGGCTGTTTTGCAGGTCATTACCATGTCCTTACCTATAGACCAGTACGAGAGCTTGCGCCAAAGGGTCTGTCCTGAGAAGGCAATCAAGCCTCAGTTGCTTGGTTTGCAAAGTCTCCAAAATAAACCGAACGCGTCAGATACACATCAGACATATCACTTTTTGAAACTACTTGGAATGTTGGCAATCTTTTCAAAGCTTGAACAGAAAGAGGCACAAGGTGCACGTTTGAATCACGAGGACTGGAGAAATGAGCCGATTTCTGAAAAGCTGGGGATCCTCGCTGGGATCTGCGGCAAAGCTCGGGCCAAGGTCCGACAGCAGTTTGTGGAGGAATAGTGATGTATATGAATGATCGTCATGAATGTATATATGAATATATATGATATTATTGATATATTATATAATTCATGCCCAGTTTGATAACATTTGATAACTAATCCTCTCCCCCCTAATACTAAACGCGGGCCCCCCCAAAAGAATAAACACCTCAGGTAGTTTTTATTATTAGGGGTGTATTAATTATTAGGGAACCAAAGCGGACCCTAATAATAAATTTAAACTCTTAACAATAAAAAATAACAAAACTATTTTTTTCGATTTCAAAATCAATTAAATTTCCTTTATAACGCAATTAAAGTATTGCCAAACATTGGATTTCGAAGCGGACCCTAATAATAAATTTTCACCCGTATTTTTTTATTTCAAAATCAATTATATAAATTTCCTTTCATAATGCACTTAAAAAAATGCCAAAAATTAGATTTCGAAGCTTGCCCCCTTAATACAAAAAACAAAAGCTTTCGGACGGACCCTCATAAAAAACACCCCGGGGTTGACTAGTTTTTGTTATTAGGCGGTGAAACCTACAAATAGTAGCTTTATTTTTAAATTGTTTTCCCCTTTAATAAAAGTCAAATTGGGGGGGTTAGTAATAGGAGGAAGGGATTATCTTTATCATGTCGCGCATTTGCACACATGTACAAATGCCTACAGTGTAGAACATGGTCTTCGCAAATCGCTGCTGATGTCACGCCACTTGAACTTCCATACCAACAGGAGACAAGGAAAGGGTGGAGAGAAAAACTTGCGACTTGCAAAAATAATGCACCTGATTAATGGGCATCAACTATCACACTGTCCTTGCCCCCAGGCTGAATCATCTACGAGTTCTAGGCCTGGCACTGCAGCAAGAGGCAAAGGTGGTGGCGATTCACTGCTACTTGGCACATCTTGGCACTGCAAATGCTGATGGCCTGACGGCAGGATTGCAAACACACACGATGGCACAAAAGCAATCAAAAGCATCCCAAAGCATCCGATTCATATTTTTCCTGTTCGTCGATGTCATTTCATGCTGCCGTTGCGGTGGTAGTTGGAGCACCAAGAGCGATTGTATACTGCAGTGGTTGGATGTGGTTCGTAGTCATTTTGGCAGTCGCAGCGGGGCAGTCACTGTAGATGGCTGCAGGGCTGGTAAAATGTTGTTATCATGAGGCGAGAAAGAGACTTTACAAAAGGATGAAAGGAAAACAACAGATAGATTGGACCTGCACTTGAGGTTCCCGCACGGACCCACCGAGCTTCGACCTGCTGGCGACTGAGAGGGATGCGACATGTAGATAGATATATAGATACAAGTAGATAAGCAGATAGATAGATAGATAGATGGATGGATAGACAGATAGATAGATAGATAGGTAGATAGGTAGGTAGATAGGTAGGTAGGTAGGTAGATAGGTAGGTAGATAGGTAGGTAGGTAGGTATATATATATATATATAGTTCTACGGCCCCGGAGTTTAAGATGCAACACTGATCCCTTTTGTTCCCCGTAGTGTTCAGCTCAATCTAGGGTTGGATGTCGTGCAGCTCTTGCGGGGTATTCCTTGGCGAACCCTGTGCGTGCTGCAGAACCTACCGCAGGATCGGCTGGATCCTGCAAACGTGCCACCTTGCGCCATCTCAGGAGAGTGAGGCCCTCCGAGCGCTGCGCGAGTGTTGCTGCGTGCTGAGCGACCTCTACGAGGTTGCGGGTCGAGAGGCCCCGGCCGGGTCTCTTGCAGCGGGGGATCAGGCACCCCTGGCTAAGAAGGAGGTCGCGGAGGAGGTGAAAGCAGAGGAGAGCAAGGAGGCACAAAGTTCAGAGGATATCAAGGTAAAGGAGGAGCCAGCCGCAGAGCGAGACAAGAAGGACAAAAAAGAAAAGAAGAAGAGCCGCAAAAAGAACAAACACCCCAGTGAGGAGAAGAAGACGGGAGAAGGTTCTCCTGAAGAAGGGACAAAGAATCGTGAGAGAAAGAAGGCTAGAGGAGAACCAGTGCCTGGAGACGAGGAGACCGCAAGCAGACCAGTCAAGACAGAAGTAGAAGAGGAGAGCGTTGTTACGGGGCTTGTCCCTGCTAGTGGATCTACAGAGGCAGAGGACTTGCAGGAGCGAGTGGATAACTACGTGAGTAGCAATCCTGGATCTTTTGAGCTGGGCACCTTACCAGCCAGAAGGCGAGAAGGAAGCAACGGAGCGGAAGGAGAAAGAGTTTCTGGCAACAGGAGGCCAGCCGAACCCGCTCATCCGCCACCGGCGAACCGAAGGAGAGGAAGTGAGGACGAGGAGATCCCACGCCGGCGTGTGCGACCGCCCAAGAAGAACAAAGGGCGTAGCCACCGTGCGCGAGGCTGGGAGAGAGGATATACCTGGCAGAGGCCGAGGTATTAATGGCGCCCAAGGCCAAAGTGAAAGCAGCCCCGAAGGCCAAGGTGAGGGCAAAGGCAAAAGCAAAAGGAGGAGCCAAGGCCCTTGCGCGCCCAGGGCGAGCACCCAGATTGGGGGTGAGGAGGCCGGCAGCAGCAGTAGAGCCGGAGAAAACGCTGGAGGAGAAATGGGCGAGCGGCTTAGAAGTAGAAGGATACAAAGTTCCACCCTTGGAGTTGGGCGAGGGTGTGCGGATCGCAATGGAGGCGGCCACTTACTACCTCCAGGAGTGCAAAGTCGCTGGGGAGATTCGAGGTCTAGAGATTCGAGAGGGACAGGTCTCTCTTCGTTTGACCTTGCTGGGGACCACTCACGAGGGGCTGCTCAAGTTGCATTCGGGCGCCCCGGGCACGGTCTTCAGACTTCACCTATGCCAGCCCAGTTGCAACCAGGAGGAGGTGGCCGATACCCTTCTTCATACTCGCAAGATCAGACTGGTGAAGTCTCTGGACAAGGAGGATGGATGGGTCAGCAACTTGGAGAAGGTGAGGCCGATGGAGGGTCAAGACGACCTGTCAGCCCTGCGAAGGAGAGAACAAGAGTTGGGCTTGGGTGGCCCCCCGGGGATTGGGGAACAGGCCCCCCCTGCAAAAGAGACAAGAAAGGAGAAGAAGAAGATGAAGAAAGAAAGGAGAGAAGAACGGAAAAAGGAGAGAGACAGGGGTGGCCCACCAGAAGTGCTAGAGGAGACCAGTGGGTCGCAGGAGCCGGCCAAGCTGGATGGGTCCCAAGCCCGGCGGGCTGCGAAGAAAAGCCTTTCATCTCTCTTCGGAGGGACCGGTTTGGACCCTCGCGAGAAGACGCGGCGCCGGGTGTCCAAAAAGGCAAGGATGGCGCTGAAGAAGAAGGAGAAGAAGGACACATCGTCGCGGTCCAGTGGAAGCAGCACGTCATCGGATCCTTCCATGGCGGAGGAGGGCGCCGAGTCCGTCGTTCAACAGAGCTCGAAGGTAAGGCAAGTGGCGCTGGGGTTCCCAGGAGCGCTAGCGTGCCAGGCCTTGGCACAGATGAGGAGCAACCTCCTGGCCGAGATCGGATCGGAAGACAGGCCCGGCTCAATACGAGCATGCGCTGTGGCCTACTACCGCCAGCAGCTGGGCAAGAAGGCAAGTGGCCCTGCTCAGCGCGAGTGCCTGACAATAGCGGCATCCGTAGATCAGTTTCTGGGAGGGAATGCAGCAGGAGCGATGGACATTTTGCTCCAGCGCCTGAAATCATGCGAGAGCAGCATGATGGGAACCCATTGGACGGTCTCCCAGAGGCTCGAGGTCGTGCCCCAGGAGAACATGCAGCTGACGCCCGCTCCAGAGATGGGAGTGGCGCGCAAGGACGTCTACGACGAGACCAGGCTGCGTTGGCTTGCATCTCAGCCGGAAGGTCGATCGGGGCAAAGCGGCATGAAAGGAGCGACCAAGGGGAAGGCGGACTCCAAAGATGGAAGCAAAGGAGGCAAGGATCGACGATGGGGAAAAGGTCCCCAGGCAAAGGGCGATGCGCCGAAGAAGAAGGAGGAAGCGGCTGGCAAGGCCTAGGAGGGATGGCAGATGCGGAGACGAGGGGACGGCCCCTTGTGGAAGATTGGCTGGCGGGGGATAGGTCCCCTGAGTGGCAAGATAAGACGGGGGAGCTTACCCCTGGAAGATGTATGAGCGGGGGCCCTGACCCGAAGGAGACTGGCTATAAGAGGGGGATGGTAGTGGCCCCTCGCCAAGTACATCATCCTGGGGCCCTGGCGACAGTTCCCCAAGAAGGGAGCTGTGGGTTGCAATCAGTGCATGTGGCAGCCCCGAAGTGGGCAGGCCTGAATTCCTTCACTATGGGCCCGGCAGCTGCGGCGAGCTCGGGCGAGGCGGACGGCCCAGCCCTTGAGACAACGGCTGACGCTTTTGAGTCCCTTCATCGAAAAAAGGACGCTGAGCTTTGTGTGACTGGGAGGACTTTGGGAAGTTGTGGAATGATTTTGGGTTCCAGGCTCTTAGAGGATTTACCACTTCGCAGCCAGTCCATGGGTAAGGGAAGTACAGTTGCTATTTTTCCCTTGCCTACCTCTAGAGCTGCCTTTTTGCATTTGGACCCTGGACTGAGTGAAGATGTGCTTTCATGGCTTTTTTGTGTGACTTTTTCATTGAATTCTTCATGGGGAATGGAGCTGCTCAACGAAGGGTTGCCTAATGTACCACAACAAAAGTGTTTGGAGGGCATTTTGAAAGAGGTGCATAGGTTTTGCCAGCTGGATGCTTGCATTGATGAGCTCAATTGGCTGGACTTCTTCAAGATTAGATCCATCGATTATAAAGGAGATGAGGTAAAGGTCGCTCGAAGGTTCTCTTGGAAAAATATCCTGCCCGCTCTACCTCGCGAGATTGGGAAGGTTCCCTTGGCTGATGTGTGCACTCTGGGGTCCCAACACTATGTCCTTCACTTCGACCAGTACCTTAAGCCCTCTTCTGAGTGGGTGCCCATAAAGCCCCCACGAGTAATGGTAGAGGACCGTGACTGGGGTGCGGTATGTATAGGACTGGTACAGTCTGGCATATGTACCTTCATTGAGGAACATGAGGTGTTTCATGCCAACGGGGAGCCTTTGCTCAATGGGTTATTTGGGGTGTCTAAAGAGGAATGGACGTCGGATGGCACCGAAATTTTTCGTCTTATCATGAATTTGGTGCCTCTGAATTCCCTCTGCATGCCCATGGCAGGTGACGTGAATACGTTGCCTTCCTGGAGTGGCATGACCCCATATTTTTTACAACCCTCTCAGTGTCTGCTGGTGTCAAGTGAAGATGTCAAGTGTTTCTTTTACACAATGTCCGTGCCGAAGGCATGGACAAAATATCTCGCTTTTAACAAATTGGTTCCTGACTGTGTACTCCCCCCTTCTCTCCAAGGTAGCCGTGTGTATGTGGCCTCTCAGGTTCTCCCCATGGGGTTCTTAAACTCCGTCAGCTTGGCACAGCACGTCCATAGGAACCTGACGCTCAAGTCGCAGGAGATGGGCGCGGGACGGGAGTGCAATGCTCCTGAACATGAGTTGCGGAAGGACAGGCCCTTTCCTTCTGGCGATGCGTTGTGGAGGATCTATTTGGACAACTACGACCTCTTGGAAAAAATCGAGGCCGCGCAGATGGTGAACCTGGAGGGCACTCAGGCCCCCGGAGTGTTGGCACTCCGTCATGACTATGAGCTCTGAGATGTGCCACGCAATGTCAAGAAGTCGGTACAGCGGAGCAGCCGCTGTGAAGTTCAAGGCGCAACGGTCGATGGTCTCCTTGGGGTGGCATACCCGCGGGAGAGCAAGTTGTGCAAGTACTTCGCAATGGCACTGGACCTGTGCCAGCAAAGAGGTGCCACCCAGAAACAGTGGCAAGTGGTATGTGGAGGCCTGGTGTACGTCGCCATGTTCCGCCGCCCGTTGCTGGGAGGACTCAACAAGGTCTGGCAACATATCGAGAGCTACGGTAGCTCTTGTCATCGTTACCAGATAACCCCACCGGAGTGCAAGCTGGAAGTCCTCAGGTTTTTGGGCTGTCTTCCACTGGCCAGGATGGATTTCAGGCTGGACATGCATGAGATGGTCACATGCAGTGACGCGTCCAACACAGGTGGTGGAGTGTGTGCCAGCACGGCCACAACCCCATTTGGGTACCTGGTGGCTCAAGGGGGGTTACGTGGGGAGCTGGTAGAGAACCGATCTGACCACATGATTTTGACAGTGGGATTGTTTGACGGCATCGGGGCGCTTCGGGTTGCCCTGGACGCGCTGGGAGCTCAGGTCATAGGACATGTGTCAGTCGAAAAGGAGGACTTCGCGCGGCGTGTTGTGGAAGCACACTACCCAGGGGTCATTGCCCTGGAGAAAGTTGAAGATGTGGATGCGGGCGTGGTCAAGGAGTGGAGCGCAAAGTTCTCACAAGCCAGTCTGGTCCTCCTCGGGGCCGGTCCGCCCTGTCAAGGAGTTTCGGGGCTTAATGCAGACCGGCGTGGTGCCCTGAAGGATGGCAGGTCCTCCTTGTTCAGCCATGTCCCTCGTATCCGTGATCTTCTCAAGCAGTATTTCAGGTGGTGTCCGGTCTACACTCTCATGGAGTCGGTAGCATCAATGGATCAGAAAGACCGTGACGTCATGAGTGAAGCTATCGGGATGAGACCGCTCTCCTGCAACGCTGGAACCTTCACCTGGTGTCAGAGGCCAAGGCTCTACTGGGTGGATTGGGAGATTGACAACGAGTACACACAGGGGCCTGCAGCGTCGGGGGAGTGGTCCCCTGTTCAGGTCACACTCACAGGCTCGCAAGACATCACGGAGGTGATCCGGCGTGGATGGCTCAAGGTTGACCCTGACCAGCCCTTCCCCACGTTCACCACCTCTCGGCCACAAGGGAAGCCAGGCCGCAAGCCGGCGGGGCTCCAAAGCTGCACTGATCAAGACCTGCTCCGGTGGGCTGCAGATTCGCATAGGTTCCCTCCCTATCAGTACCGACAGCAACATTGCTTGGTGAATCGGCAGAATACTCTTCGGGTACCTGATGTGGCGGAGCGTGAGCTGATGCTAGGGTTCCCGCTTCATTATACCGCCGCCTGCCTCCCCAAGGGAATGCGGAAGGAACCCAACTATTCAGACGCGCGTCTGTACCTCCTGGGGAACACTTGGAGTGTTCCGGTTGTCGCGTGGCTGGTAGGCCAGCTGCTCGGGAGGTTGGGGTTGATGGCTTCCCCATCCCCTCAGGAGGTCTTGGATAGCCTCCTGCCTGGGACGGCTGCAACTACGCAAGGTCGGTTGGTCCGGTTGCCGCTCAATCCAGAGAGGGGTTCACGTGCGGAATCAGGCTATGCCTTGGCAGTGAAACTGGGCAATCTCATATCCATGAAAGGGGAAGACATCCTCCTCACTACACCTACCACGCAGATGGTACGTCATCACAGGTTGCGAGCCAGCGTGCCCTCGGCACTGTGGCGGTGGAAGGTAGTTACTGGGTGGCAGTGGAGGCTCGGCAAGGAGCACATTAACTCGTTGGAATTGCGCGCAATTCTCACGGGTTTACGGTGGCGATTGGAGCGAAAGGGGCATTTCAACTTACGGTTCATTCATTTGACCGATAGCTTGGTCTGCCTACATTGCTTGACAAGGGGAAGGACCAGTTCACGCAAACTCAGGCGGACATTAGCGCGCATTAATGCACTTCTTCTGGCATCTAACTCTCAGCCGTTGTGGGGTTATGTACACACCGACCAAAATCCCGCTGACAAGCCCAGCAGGTGGGGTCGGCGGGTCCGCACTAAATTCCGAAATGCCGCGTAAGCGTATTTTGGAAGCTGAGAGGCCAGAAGAACGTGCGCGCCAACGTCAGAAGTTAGGTACTTTGCGGAACTTGACAGTCCAGCCCGCTACACGCAAGCGTTACACCAATGCCACCGATGCCTTCCTCAGGTTCCTTCGCGATGAAAACCAGGTCCTTCCACAAAACAAAGCCCTAGTTGACCCACTAGTTTGCGATTACCTTGAACATCTATGGTCCTCCGGAGCCGGCCGGGCTCTGGCCTGTGACACGTTAGCAGGCTTGCAAGACATGCAGCCTAATCTCCGAAATCAGTTGCCGGGAGCCTGGCGGCTCCTGAAGACATGGCATGTAAATGAAATACCCAATCGAGCACCTCCCATCCCTGAGCATGTCCTCCACGCAATGGCAGGTTGGGCATTCTTCAAAGGTCACTACTCCTTTGGAGTATCGTTGCTCGTGGGTTTTTACACCATGCTTCGTACAGGTGAGCTCCTAGGTGTCCGGTCATCCCACATGGTATCTTCTGGCCATCACGGCCAGGTCTTGATCTCTCTTGGTTTTACTAAGGGTGGAAAGCGCCATGGGGCAGCTGAGAGTGTAATTTTGGGCTTTGAACCAGCTGTGAAGCTAGTCCAGCAATGGAAGCTCAAAGCTTCCCCGACGACTGGGCTCGCACGGTCTCCAGCCAACTGGAGAAGTCTGTTCAATGAATGTCTCCAGTCTCTTAAATTGTGTCAACATGGTTTTCGTCCGTACTCCCTCCGACGTGGAGGTGCGACTTTTTGGTTCACCAAACACCAGTCTTTCGATCGCATACTTGTGCAAGGCCGCTGGCATACTCAGAAGAGTGCTAGAATTTATTTGAATGAGGGCCTTTCAGTCTTAGCGTCAATGCGGATTCCACCAACACACCCTGATATCCTGCCCTTCCTAAATGTGTTCAACCAAACGGTACGGCGTCCACAATTCGGAACACTTGAGCCTCCGCTAAATCGCGGAAGGACGGGGGGGCATGGAAAGAAGGGTAGAAAGAGCACACAGAAGCGTCAGAAAAGCGCTTTGTCTTCCGTTTATTTTATCACTTTTCTCAATATGCTACTGCGTTCTTTGACATGTTGGGGACTAGGAGGTCTGGCTCGGTTTCCCAAATGAAAGAATGGGTCTTGCTTCCCTGCCTGGGGTTTGGCCCGGCTTGGAGGTAGGATTTTCCGGGAGGTTTTGGAACAGTAGCATATTGTCGTGATTTTATCAGTCTTGTTTATTTGTTTTTCTGAGACACAAGCTGCGAAGTGGAACAAAAATTAAGTGCTTGCATCTTTAGTTCTACGGCCCCGGAGTTTAAGATGCAACACTGATCCCTTTTGTTCCCCGTAGTGTTCAGCTCAATCTCCCCCCCTCTACCACCCGATTGAGTGGAAAGAAGGGTAGAAAGAGCACACAGAAGCGTCAGAAAAGCGCTTTGTCTTCCGTTTATTTTATCACTTTTCTCAATATGCTACTGCGTTCTTTGACATGTTGGGGACTAGGAGGTCTGGCTCGGTTTCCCAAATGAAAGAATGGGTCTTGCTTCCCTGCCTGGGGTTTGGCCCGGCTTGGAGGTAGGATTTTCCGGGAGGTTTTGGAACAGTAGCATATTGTCGTGATTTTATCAGTCTTGTTTATTTGTTTTTCTGAGACACAAGCTGCGAAGTGGAACAAAAATTAAGTGCTTGCATCTTTATATATGGATGGATGGATAGATAGGTAGATAGATAGATAGGTAGGTAGGTAGGTAGATATAATATATATATATGTGTGTGTGTGTGATTGTGTGTGTACTGTAGATACATGTAGATACAGTTTGTAGATCATTTATAGATTGATGTAGCGTAGTCCATGCACTCAGCTCCCCTCTCACTTCCCCATCATTCCTTCCACACCAAAGAATCCCAGCTCATCCCAGCTCCACTTCTTTGCTGAGGGGGGCAGCACTGCAAAGCGGTGCATCCTCTGTTTCGAGTTGGCTGAACCTTGGATTTTCATCAAGATTTGTTGCGCGTTACAAGGATTGTGTGTGTTTTTCAGAGTCTCTTTCATCTTCAAGTTTGAATGGTGATACAAGATCTGTATCTGTTGGCTGTAGACAGAAGTACGTGTGTTCGCATGCTAGTCTGGACTTTACTAAACTGCCAAGTGCCATGGTGGAGAGCACAGCCAAGATCGGCATGAGCAGCCAAGGCATGAGCATCGGAAGAAGCTCATGTTTTCAGCATTGGTCCTGCTGGGTTTGTTGCTCATTTGGGCGGCGAAGGTCTATGGACCGAGGCAGGGCATCCAGACTGGAACTGCTTTGGAATTTGAGGCATGTGCGATGGCAGAGGAGGGAGCAATGACTGAATGAGATGCAAAGAGTTGGGCCACGTTGTGCCAGTGTCCCTCAGTGTCTCTGCAGGGGCTATCAAAAATTGACCGGCCCCGATCAACGCACTTTTCGTCGCACCCTCGCGCAGAGTCGGAAGCCCAAGGGATCGGGTCTATTCAAGCCACCCTCCAATTGGATCTTCTGGACATGTAGCAACTCTTAGCCCATGTTAGCCCATGTTAGCCCTGTTGTGAGGATTCGAATCCCGTTCCGCCAGAATGGACCGGGTCAAGTCGCGAGTTGAGATGCCTTGCTGCAAGCAGTCAATGTCTTCGGAGGATTTGTCGTTGCACTGATGTTAGAAATTTATTAATTAATATACGTAGAATTATGGAGAAAGCATGAGAAAGCATGTGCTGCACCAGACTGCCGCCAATTCGTGTCCATTTTCGCCCCTGCCTGGAAATCAAGCTCGCTGCTAACATCTTCCAACCCAAAACAGCAATTTGTTTTCGCGCAGCAATTGTCAGCAGAATGTAGGGAAGCCCTGAAAGCCGTTTAGAGTTTAGACACAACTCGCTCCGCCTGAACAAATGTGACGAATCGTGTATCTTAATTATGTGTGTGTGTCTGTGCGATTGCGTGCATGCGCATGCACAGATGCAAATCCGCACACGTAGTCACAGAATATCACAGACACTGTATTCGATTGTATACGGGTTGTATACTACGTAATTTCTGCGGTTAGGGGAGCAGTGTCTCACAGCCTTCACCCTCCTTTTCTGGCCACACCAGGGTAGATCACCACAGCTCACCCCAAGGAAGTATTCCCAACGTGCTTTTGACTTGGTCATGGCTGCTGAGCCTGACTACGAGGCGCCAGGGAATGGTCAAGTGACATATATCATCACACATTACTTAGAACCTTCAGGAATGAACTTGTTTCAATAATTTCGATCTCTCAATGCCATGCCCGTGGACCCAGAGGACCTCGCACAACTTCTCTCGATTTCACCAATACCGGAACAAAACATTTGTGATCATTTGTGAAATCTGAATGAATAAAGAAATATAAAGAAATAAAGCATTTCACATCATTTCACCATATTCACCCATTAATGAATTTGATCTTTAATATTTATGTTTTTGTATGTTTTTGTTTTACCTCAACGGGCAGGACAGTGAGCTCCAGTACTACGTCAGAATCCTGGACAGCTGCAAAGGTCATGCAAAGGCCGGGTATTAGCATCAATGCAGATAATCGCAGACACACGCACAGACAAATACACCGGGAGATGCATCGGTGGACATGGAGAGGGCGATGGTAGAGAGAGAGAGAGAGATGCATCGGGGGACTTTGACATATGTTGAGGATGTGTTGAGGATTGTTGAGGTGTTTTCAATTCTTGAGAAAACATTGTTCGAATATGTTCGAATGATTGGTTGGTGTTTCGGATGACTGGTGCGGTAGGGAGGCAATCACGGTCTTTGAGATCTCGTTATATAATTTAACTTAGTGTCAATTGATGTTGATTCATCTCAATTCACGGTAATTCAAGTTGGTTTCCTTTTGCATCTATGCTTCTGCAGCAGAGTTGGCATTTTAATGAGTTTTTGATATTCTTGTCAGATTGTCGAGGTGATATGCGGCTCGCCCTGGGGGAAGTTCTACACTCCTGGCGACTGTGAGCTTTGCAAGCGACGTGACATGGCAGATTTGAGATGAAAGCTGTGAATTCTCCCGCAATGATTGTTTCATATGGTTTCGACAATTTGACCAGCTTGAAGAACAACTTCGTGCTTTGACACTAAGGTATTGATCGCAGAGAAAAGGGTTGTCAATGCACACAGGGGGGGCACCGTTTGTGCTGGACTTGCATGCGCCTTGGCAAAAGTATGTGTTTCGAGAGCTTGCATCCCTGCAAAGGTGTGCTTTGCTTTTTTTATGACTGCCTGACCCGGATCTTTTTGGGTACCTTAAACTTTTTCAGGCAACATAAACCTTACAGAGCTAAAAGGGCCCTTAAACATGCTTTCACATGCTTTCATCATATACTGCCACTTGCCGTATCCATCACAAATACATCACGAACCAAATTGCAACTGTCACGTGCTGCCACCGCTTCATGCTACTTTCTCAGGACGAGCATTATGAATTGGGAGATGCCAGACTGCATGCAGTGCACAGTCATTGTTAGGACATTTGGGACTTGAATGCTCCCAGCTGACCCTAGACAGGGGGCCTCGAGAAAAGCAAGACGCATGTTAGTATTATTGCATACTGCGAATTTGATTGAACATTGCTAAATATTGGGAATGGAACTGCCCTGCAATGTACGCTGCCAATAAATATGAGTCAATATAGGGTTATGAATCTATGAACATTCGATATTCTTTGGGTGCGATTGTCAGATTTTCTTAGGAGTTTGGCTGCTAAAGAAGGGCAGCAACCCTGGACTTGGTCCATAAAAGACTGGCATCTTGGCACACTTGGCGCACCTTTGGCACCCGTGAGCGCGCTGATGTTACGTTTTCCACCCTTGATGTTGGCTCTGTGGGATATCAGGGTGATGAACAGCTTTTGTTTTTGGTCTAGTGAAGGAGTTTGCCAATATAGACAGAAAAGACGGCTATTAGGGCCCTGCGCTAAGGTTGTAGAAGCTTCCTGCGCAGGCCGCAGTGCGTTGAGCGCCTTCTTCAGGGTTTGCATCGCTTTCGCGATGCACACTACTTACTGTGAGCTTAAGATTGATACAAACTTCAGACTGGCAACCCATGGCAACCCCCTGCCACGACTGGTGCCAGAAGCTGCTGCTGCTGCTGTCAGGTCGGGAGGCTTTTTGTGAATTTAGAGCGCATGAATTCCCGGATTCTCACGAGACTCCCACAACATTCTCACCTTGTTCAGTTTCGGATCATCAGCCGACGACAGTAACTACAGTGACTACATTCTTAAATTACATGGTTGCCCGCTTATTGCCTAACCAGATCTATGATCTAACCAGCACATTTCTGGGAGTCTAGAGGACATGGCACAGAGGGGTGGCCAGAGTGGCACTAGGCCTGCCAAAGGCCTCTAGTCATGCACAAAATGTATCCATGCATCCACATCCACATGCCAGATCCAAAGTGGCTGGCCCTACCTGCAGTTTCCAAGCAAGCATATTTGCACTGGCATCAATGGTATTGTATTGAAGGTATTTCAAGTTAAACTGGTGGGATGGCGCGTTTGAGAAGGTTCCCCCCGTATTGTAACGATTTGCTTTACTTCGGAAGCTCGCAAGATGGAACGAAATACTTCAACTACATTAACTACATGAACTACATAAACTACATGAACTACGCAACTACATGAACATCACACGCCACAAGCCTAAGAAGCTTGGAAGCTTTGGGGTGTCGTCGTTTCACCTCTCCAAATGAAAGCTTCGGCTCGTTTTTCTTGGAGCCGGAAATCAAGCATTTGGTGGTGAGTTTGATTCTTTGACGATCTTTTCTGAAGTTTCATGCCAATGTTTTTCAGATCGTTTAGTTTTCTGCCACGTCTGCCCTTTGTATCCCGTTGTCACCTTCACTGGTGCTCCGGAAGAATTTCAGCGACGGCACGGAGTTGAACAGCCTGCGTGTCACACTTTTTTGTGACGTCCAGGTGTGGAGATACAACGCAAGAAAAATAAGAAAAAGAAAACATAAAAAACATTGAAAAGGCGACCGGATTCAATGTCAATGCGCAAGTGGACTCTGCATTAGAAAAAAACAAACAGTACGACAGAACTTGGAAACAGGAGATGCATTGGCTGCATTGGCTGCAAGTGTGTGTGTGTTTGTGTGTGTGTGTGCGTTTTTCTTTCATGTTTTGGGATGCTTTTTGCTTCAGTCTAAGCTGACCAAGGCACTAGAGCAACTCCACTTGCTGTGAGAGGCCGGTTGCACGTTGAAGATTGTCAACGTATATGGTTTATACACAGTGTTCATACTTACATTTGATCAGCATTGATCAGCTGTATCCAATTATATACTATATGTTTTTCGTACTTCGAGTAAATTTGAGTAAATCATATTGTCAATTCAAAACTGGAGTTACTGGATGTTACTGGGAGCTTCTTTGCTGGGCGCCAGTTGAAGTAGATTCAGCTATGCGGGTGACTGCCTGTGTGTTTCGGAAATTTTTGGAGGTCCTTGGGATGTGTATAGATTATATGCTGTGTGTGAACAGTTGGAATGGCTGGGGCATCGAATAACCTCAAGACAATTACAACATATCACAACTGATGTTGCATGTTTAGTAGAATTGTCAGGTCACATCAGGTCGATTTTGGCATTTTCTGGCATGTTAGCCATATTGCAGACATTGTGAACGAGGAGAATGCAGCAAGATGAAGGAAGTGGAAATACTACTTGAGAACTCGAGGAAGGGCGATGCAGTTCTTGAATGAAGCTGCCATAAACATCCATAAACATTAATCATCGGCAAAGACGCAGCACCCGTGTGTGATATGACTGATCTAGAACTGATTAGAATTGTATCTTTGAATATCTTTGACATTTGAGTCACACCAAGCACTATGCACCTGCGCTGGCCATGGGCGAACTTGTCGACCTATGCTGCCTTGAGACCTTGCCACAGCTCCTGAGGTCACTCTAATCAATCTCGCATCAGATGCACTGCATCATATTGATTTTGTGATGGACTGGCTAGATTTTGTATGATTTTGTATGGCTTGGTCGTTGTTGGTGACTTATTCGCCCCGTATGATGTAGCCGACTGGTCAAGGGGAGCCAGATTTGCCCCCACACATATCATGAACTGCTCTCCAAAGTGCATGTAACCTGAGGATTTTGAACGGTTGGATGTGAAACGCAGGACCAATTATATAATGAGAGCCGGAAGAGATATGATGCTGGTGCAAGCCAGTATGGTGGATACTATATTTAATATAGTTATAGAATGAACACACACAAAATCACAAGCAGATATATGTATATATAGCATGGATCGTTACAGTCGTTACATATATTGTAGCATAGTCGGGAACATAGACATGTAGAACATGGGAATTTCTGAGCAAAGATTTGCTGAGGACAGCAGTGGAGCTTCCTCGCTTCGGTCTTTGCTCACGGCTTCTTTGGCGTTTTTGCTTGGAAGAGCTCCAACGGAGACTGCGACAGGCACTGAACGACCAGCAACATGAAACTACGTTGCTTAATACAGATTAATACAGTTGTACGGCCTCTATGCCGCCCACGTTTTGTTGATGCCATGTTTCCTTGAATTTTGAGAAATCAAAACTTGGTTGCCGCCTGAACAGCCTCATGATATCCCCCAGGGATCCCCAGTGGCAAACATGACGCGCCCCGGCCAGTCCCTGCATCGAGCCTGGACAGACGGTGAGTCATTGTGACTCGGCTGAGTTCAAAGTTGGAACAAAGTACAATTTGAATCAATTTGAATCAAGATGATGCCAGTTCAATCATATTCAATCATATTCAATCGGTTCAATAGTTCAATAATCATGTTTTCAGTCCCAAGTAGGCAGTAGCTTCGACAGTATTTGGGTTTAGGAGGTGCAGCCATGGTGTATCGGCTCTGAGAATGTGACATGCAGAAAAACAAACAAGAGAATTATATACATGGATGAACTAGAATGGGTTCCAGAATCCGATGACACAGGAAACAGATATGCAAATCTACCAAGACCCCAAGACATGTTATCCTCATCCAGAGAGAGAGGAAAAAAATGCAGCAAAACAGCAAAATGCGCAAAATTATCAGAGACACGGCTTTCCTGCACCTACCGCAGCGAAACAATTCCAGCCTTGGCCTTAGCCATGGGCCTCCATTTGGCCGGAAGATGCGATGTGGAAGGTCATTGCTGAGGAGTGCCGAAGGGCAGAAGTCAACGCCTTGGAAGCTGGGGTACTAATTAGAAGGATAGGAGCGGAGAGCAGGGATCTAATGTGAGATAGTGTGAGCCCACGGAATTCATCGGAATTCATTCCCAGCATTTTCCTTCCCATTAGATCACGAGGCAGTCGGAGAAGAATCGCTAGAGAAGCAGACTCAGAGTCGAGTTTGGATCAAAATGGTGCCTCAAAAGATCTCAAAAGAGTTCAAAAGAGTCTCTTGTGTGCAAGTTCTGTCTAGTTCTGTGAGCGGTTTTCTGTGTAGTTGGCACCCGTTCCACAGACGTCTGTGTAATTTTGTACGTTTTCGCCATTCTTGGAGTTTGGGGGCGTGGGGGGATGGGGGGGAGTAAGAACGTTCATCCTACTAATAAATACTTATATAATTATTATATCTAAATTACATTATGTTGTTGGCATGATGCTCTTGGCTTTTTTTTTTCGCCCTACTACGTTGTTGACATGACGCTCTTGTCTTTCTTTCTGCCATTCTTGGGGTTTGGAGGCCTCGGGTGGGCTAATAACGTTCATCCTACTACGTTGCCATTCTTGGTTACATAACTTTCCACTACGTTAAAGTTTTTCTCTTCCACAACTTTCCACTACGTTGAAGTGGCTTTCTTGTGTAACTTTTTCACTACGTTAAAGTCGCTTTCTTCATCTTTCTTCCATAACTTTCCACTACGTTAAAGTTGCTTTCTTCCAGAACTTCGGGATGGCATGCTTCGGAAAAATCGGTTGGCCACCCCAAAGTGTTTTGGAATGTTTTGGAAAGTTCTGCCAATGCTGAATCAATGGGTGTGGCGTCAAACGTTGCCAGCACTCAGTCCGGCTTTGTTTCTGCAGCAGCTGAAGGCTTTGCTGGCTGAAAAGTAGCCAAATGTGTTGGAAACAAATAGTCTTTTTTGTGGCGCTCTATGGCGCTCTGCAGTATGAAAGCGCACAAGCCTCACAAAGCCATGTGAAACGTGGACCAAACGTATGATGCATTCAATGAAAACTTTGAGAATTGAAGAAAAGTGCGCAAGAAATTCCACATTGTGAAACTCTACCTGGCGTCACAAACATGAAAACGTATGGAATTCTAGTGCGAAATGCGTTCATCCAGCAACCTGGATTGAGTGGTTACAACCCCAGTCACAATTCCAGATGGCCGTCTACGGAACGGGAACCTAGTTCTGCCGCGTGGCTTCCGAGGAATGGAAGCTTCGAGAGACACGTCGACGCCACATTGATGAATTGGCACGTCTCGCTGGCAGCTCCTCGACAGATCGTTTGTCTGGCAAATGCGAAACGACGTCAGCGATGTCAGTCTCACCAGGCTTCGGGTCAGGCTTCTCACCAGGCGGTTTCTCGCCAAGTTTCCGTGGTGGTGGTGCTGGCCGCATGCTTGAGGGCTCCATGCCAGAGGCTGCAGGTACGGTACTGGTGAGTTGTAGGAGGGACTTCGGTGCTCATCGAATACGTCTCTGGGTTGAGGACCTTGCCAGCATTGGCAGTGCCAGGTTTCATGCAATAGATGAAGCCACGGGTGCAAGGATGTATAGAGATATCCCTGATGCTGCCTTGTCGCGCTTGCTCACGGTTTTTCGGCGCTCACCAACATGCGACCCAGATGATGTCGATGATTTTCTACGTGCCATGCTGCGGGCATGTAAGATCAGAATGTTTCCAGGTGGCCTTGACATTGCCCTACCATCGGACCAAGATCTACAGCCTGAAGTTCGACCTGCGCCTTTGAATTTGCGAGTGATGCAGCACATTTCCGCTATGGGTGGCCAAAGGCCAGGCGAAGTTGGCGAAGTTGGCCAGGTGAGTTTGGGCCACCAGGCTGCAAAGACAGCATCTGCCAAATCAATTCCCTGCATGGCAGTTGCCCCTGGTCCTGGTTCCACTGGGCTTGGAGTGACACCCGTCATGTCTCTCCATCAACAGTTGAGACCCCCTCGTCCTTCGAAGCCACCAGGTCGTCCGCAGGTGGGGATGCCAAAGCGTCCTGTTCGCCGCGTGCGGCCACAGAGCGCTCCACACACCGGACGGAGCGAAGAGCCAAGGGCTTCTAAGGCTATGGAAGCTGCAGCTGATGCAGCTCGGTCAGCTCGGACCGTCAGCGGTAGCACTGCGATCACTGGCCAGAGCCCTTGTCGGTCCCCTTGTCGGTCCCCTTGTCGCCCCGAACCCAAAAGCCATGGGCCCCATGCGCTTCATGGGAACCAAAGCCCTTCGGTGCCTTCAATGATACCTGGAGCGTTTCGCGGTCGAAGAGCTCGCCCCACTTCAGCTAAAGCTTTGAAGCATCGGCGTGTGGTTGATGATAGTGTCGACAGCATTATCTACGAAGATGACGAAGAGGAGCAGGAGGAAGAGGCAGAGATGACGGTTGCGGCAGAAGTCACAAGTCAAGACACAAGTTTGACAAGTGGCCAAGACACGAGGGACACAAGATATGGGGATACACTAGGCGAAACCCTTGAGACGGGTGAGACTCTCGGTGAGACTCTCGAGGGCGAGATGGTCTCTGAATCCTTAGACTGTGGCTGTGGCCAGGACAGTGTGGACTCTGTGGACTGTGCGAAGTTGACGGAGCACCCAGACAGCGGAGCAGTCCATGGAGCACTTGGAGGGAATCTCGAGGCGAGCCACAGGCCAAGCAGATGCGACATCTCGCCGTCGCCCTATGGTGCCCCACTTTGCCTGGCACCTTCATTGAATGTCATCACTCAAGGCGCTCGAATTGCTGAGGAACCGGATCAGCAACGCATGCGCGACTTGGCACACATTCATTCCAAGTTTTTACATGTTTTTACAAGCTTGCTCAAGGCTCATGAGTTGTCATTGTTTCATGCTGTTACCCATTGTTGACCGGTCCATTCAGTTTATTTTGATGTGCGACAGTGCACCAACATGCTAGGATGTGGTGCTAGGACTGCTACAGTAGGATGTGGTGCTAGAATCATGTAGAATCCTTGCTTGGATTGGTGGGCATTTTCCAGTGCTTTCCGGATTCTTCCCATGTGGGGCACCCCTTTGAAGCATTCTTTGCAGGTGAGTTTCCTGAGGTGAAGATGCAGGCCCCGGCTGATTTTTCCAGCCGTCCTGATGGGTTGTGCTGCTGCTTTGCCAACCTGAAACGTTCTGGAATCATGAGAACTGATGAGAACTGATGAGAACTGATGAGAACTGATGAGAACTGATGAGAACTGATGAGAACTGATGAGAACTGAGAAGTGCAGACGATGGAGCTGGCAACGGCAACAGTTTGGCGGCAGTTTTGTTTGATTTTCTATGATTATGACTTTATATCAGATCCTTTTTATTCCTTTGCCATCCTTTGCCATCCTTCGTTATTTTTGTTTTTCCATCTGGATTCTCTTGCCAGGAACCAGGAGGCACATATGGAGATGAAGGTCCATTGCGGAAGGTGCGAAAGATGAGCGCTTCATAGCGATTCCATTCCATGCCGGATCTTGTAGTATGTTGTAGCACTGTTTCGACCTTATAATATGCATGGACCTGCATAGGTTGCTGGAAAACGAAAGGCCCAAGACAATTAATTGCTGAAGGGGAAACACAGGGTGTACTTCATCCTGTGGCTTCGGTTCTTCGCCACAAGTGGCTTCCCAGGAATATACATCCACAATCCATCACAATCCACACTGATCCTCTGAAGGGCTACTTTCGGTCTAGTGAGAGTGTATGTATTTATCACGGTAGTTAGCCACATAAAGAACCAGCTTCGACTGTTGGCACAGGGAAGCGCGTTGCTTACGAAAGCTATATTTTTTTGTGGGAGAGCTTTCAACTTGTTCAGATTCATGTTCCAGCCCGTCCCCATGCCCCCTGCTCCCCATGTCCCGGTGCCCACCCTTTTCAAAGGATGTCACATGAAATTTCGAGAATTACCGAGAACCCTGAAACTCGCCATGCCCCTTGGTCCCTTTGGTCCGCATCTCCCACGCGGATCCATAACCTGAAAGGTGTTGGATAGGCAGATAGGACGTGATAGATGATGATAGGATATGACAGGATCAATATACATATATATATATACTTACAATATGTACATAATTACATAAATACCGTGAAAAGCCGCGCCGAGCGAGGTGTTCTTTTTGTATTGGTCTAAGTGGTCTTGCGCCAATTTGCACATGTCCATGCGCAACAGCGCAAACGGGTGCAAACAACTTCTCCAGACAAAGTCTCCCACACACGCCCTCAAGTAACACATCGCCCTCGTGTCGCAGTCAAGATATCATGAAAGTCTTGAAATTGATAAGAGAACAATAGAGAACATATGAGGCCAACGATGCACATGCTATAGCTGCTACATGGCCACATGACCCAAGGCTAAAACTGACTTGGATAAAGCCGACTGGTTTGCACTGTGGCGAATCACAGCACCAGACAGCCCTTGGCAGAACCCAGTTTTGCTTCCACATCAATTCCACATCGGTCAAGTATGGTCAATTTAATGTGTCAAGTTGGCCAATGAAAACTGAAGTCGGTGAAGCGATCCTTGAAAGATCTGAAAGTCTACTGCTTAAGCGGCTAAAACATGTTGAAACATGTTGAAAACATAGTCCATTTCACCAAATCACCACAAGCCATCACAAGTCATCACGAGTCATCACAAGCCATCACAAGCCATCACAAGTCATCACAAGTCATCACAAGTCATCACGAGTCATCACAAGTCACAACATGCTCGATACGTGTTTTTACCTCGCATGCTATTCTATTAGCTCATTTATATAATTTCTAGGAGCAGACGCTTCATAGATTCAAACAGATGAACAGGGGATCTGATGGGGTTAGATTTGTCGATGACGATTGGTCAACCATATAAAGGATTTTCGCGGATTACCAACTGCTACCGCTGCGTGTGTCTTTCCTATTCTTTCCTGGCTTCGGACATTTTTGTGACCTCTTTGGTAGAGATTGCAGGATGGCCTTGGGGAAGACGTCTCTGAGGGCACCGTCCCAGGCCCAGTGCACGTTTTGATCAAAGATTTGCACATCGAGGATTTCACCGCTTTGGGCGCTTTGGAGCCTCGGTCTTCTTCCCCGCCACCACGGCCGGAAATGTCCAATGTGTCATGAAATGATGGTCCCAAAAATCCTTGGAAGCCCTCTTAGCAGACGGTAACAATCAGTAACATGTAAAATCTCAAGTTGAAAGATACTGAAAGCATGAGAAGGAATCGCCAAAGATCTCTGGCGTTGTTTCACTATCTCTTGCCGGATGGATTGCAAATTGTGCAGCTTGATGATGCTTTACTAAGACTTGTATAGACTATCCTAGAATAGATGATGAATACTTTCCATATATTCCTCATGTTGGTTTTCAGGTGTTTTCAGTTTGCTGGATATGACATGAGACTTTCTGCAGTCATCGGGCCACAGGCTGAGAAATTCAGCTTGCCTTCCAACTACGGGAGCTGCAAATAGCCCATGAGTGGAAAAAAAAAGGCATGTAGAGTTAGAGTGCACCATCGCATCGTTTTGCCTGTGTGTTCACGTGTGTCTCACCCAAACAAGCTCGGAATTGCATGCAACGCTGCAAAGGCCATCAAAGGCCTGTCTATTTGTTTTTCTGTTTTAGATCCTGTAGATCCGTCAGTGGCTGACAAGGTCTGTTGCTGCAAACGCTGTCAAGTCTTTTTTGCAGTCAGAGGCTTGGCATGGCTCGGTCTAATGGTGCATTGCATGAGGGTGCACAAGGCAAAATAAACGTGTAACATGATGTAATATGTATGAATATACTGTGAAGAGATATTGTGACATATAATGATAATAATGATAAGACTAATGATAATAATATTATCAACAATAATGATAATAATTATATATATATATGCACAATCACACACACATATATAAATATGCGCATATTATTGCATATTGCCATTCTACATGTAGTTCTGTATATATATATATATTATATAATGATCCCTCGGATGCTCGTAGATAAAATCAAGGAGCTCAAGGTCGTTTGGAGGGGCTCTGGAATTCTGGGTGGGGATCATTCTATCTATGGTTCAAGACTGTTCAAGATCATGATATCCAGATCGTTTTCCTGTGGACTTGAAATGATGCTCAAGTTCAACATGTTGGGGCAAGAGTCGGCAAAGGCCTACCTCAAGTCTATATATTCCTGGTCTCATGCAAGAGAATGGGGAATCAAACAGGCCCTTCAAGAGCTGCCCCACTGCACCTTTGGATACCTTTGGTACCTAATGGCCACGCAGATCCGTTCTTTGACCATCTTTGACCAGCTGCGCATGGCATTTAAGGATCTGTTGGCATTAGCAGCACGCTATGCCGGTGGCTGGTCTGCTTTGCTCGCCGGGCGGCAGGGGCTGCTGGACACCTCATTGCCAAAGGTGCCTGGGTCGACAGCTCAAGATTCATTGTTTCAACATGGTTCAACATTTGCAAGATACTGGTATCTATAGATATCTCATATCATGCCGGTCTTTTTCATAAGAAGTGGCAGTGAATGCATTGTGGAGGTCCAGCAAGGACGACATGTGGGAACAGCAGCAGCTTGGCTGAAGTTTGGATGCGACTTGTCACATGGCATAAGTGAACTGGTACAGTTAGGAATATTATGAAAGATATGAAAGGTTCCCGGGTTTTTCTTTACAGGTCTTCCACATTCTGTATCTCACTAATCACCGTATGTCTCACGACTGCGCGCTCAGAGTTCATGCAATGGTTTGCACATCACAGGCAGCAGTGCACCGATCGCTTTTGCTGTGGGACATCGTACGTGAAGGCGCCAATGTACAATGCACCAATCTTCAGGGACTGCTGTTAAAAAGAGGAATGCAGCAATCTGAATCAGTGGATATTGTTTGCACATGTTTAAGTAGAGGCTACGGCGGCTACGGCTTACTGGATCAGGTATGATCAGGTATGCACAACTGAAAAACCTCCCATCCTTTTTGCAGGTGATGGCACCTTATGGACTGGTATCCTCCCATTGGCACCATTTTTGCGGCGAAGTTCGTTTGAGGCATGGACAGTCACTGCTACAAGCGAAGAGAAGCCATAATCAGAAGAATTAGACATGGGATGGCGGAGTCTCAGACCCATCACGATAATTATCAATTTTTGTTGTTAGGCCCTATAGGTATTCATCGTGTTATTGCATGGTTTAAAGGCCTGAGCTGGAGTAATATGAAAGGGAAGTCGCAATTGACGTTGCATTCTTGCATTCCATGCTTCTGTTCAATTTGAAGGTGCAGATGCTTGCCCATTCTCAAAGTGCGGTTCTATTTTCAAGTGCTTTGCTACTGCTGGATTTTCTTGTTTCAATGAGATGTTCCTATGCACTTGCAACAAGGATGACAAAAGGCAGTCATCTAGTGTTTGCGTCCCTGTCAGGATTCTGACGGTGAGTGCGTGCTATGCACCTACTTGTACCCTCAAAGTGAGAGTTTCCCTGGCTGTGACCACAATTTCGAGCACGGAATTCCTGGATTACAACGGCATTCAAGATTTCAGAATCTTGGCAAAACATGGCTAACAGCATTCTCAGGCAAAGAAGGGTGGTACCATGGATCCTGTAAGCTTGGTGTGATAACATTGATTGTGTCAGGCTACCTATTCTACACTATGCGGCCCAATTGTATGACTAAATGTGACTAAGCAAGTGTCAAGATCTGTCAAGTGCTCGGTTGGTGCGGTTGCCGTCACACTGCTGCTTGCCACATCTTGCCACCCTGCACTCTTGCCATCTCTTGCCGAGTGCAGTCCGAGGATCTCGGCGTCTACTTTAGATCATCGGACATGGTGGCATCGCCTCTCACTGCTGGGGCCCAACTGCACTGAAACTCAGATCGCCCAAGTCGGTTGCTTGGCCTGGCAGCCCTAGCGGCCTAGGATGGCCTAGCACATAGCAAATGATAGCAATTAGGTTATTTAATGTTATTTATATCGGTTGAAGATCGCTATATATATTGAAAGAATATCAGAACTCTCAGAATGTAAAGGATCGCGGTAGGAAACAACAAGTTTGATGAAGGATCCAAGCGATGCCTTGCATGCTGCACGATTTGCATGTCAGTGCAGGCTTTATTCCAGATCGTTTCGCACAGCATGGCGGCTCCCCTGTGGATCCTAGCTTGCCTGATCCATCCGAGATCGTGACTGCAGCCGCTTGGCAGTGCATGCATGATCCGATCTCTGTGCTGTAGGTTGATTACACTTGATTACAAATCTTGATTTTGTTTGTAAAGAACTTTGCAGGTCTCGAGGCATGTTCAGAAAATTTCAGAAATGCATTACATCACAGGTAGCCTTGCCCTCAATCCTGTCCACTCCAAGGTGGACAAGACAGGTCAGACAGTTCCAGGCAAAGGGCTAAATCGGTTGTGGATGTTTGGAGTCCTTTTGCTGGTGGCATTTGGCAAGTGCTTTTATAGATTTTCATGTTTGCAGATCTTGCAGGGAAATGGTGGCATTGAGCAAGCTTGCATTTCTATATGCTGTACATTTCTTTTGATATCGTTTGATTCTTTGCGTGCGACACAGGGATGCAGAGACAACTTGCCAAAGCAAAGCATGCCGATGCAGTGTTATTTCTGCGTGCATTCCATTCCCAGTTGCTGATGTGGCACAATTTTGCAGGTGTTTACCGCCTGACCTTCAAATCCTTCTATGAAGAAAGAAGCAGATGGGGCCACAAATCCACCTTCATCCTGCATCTTTGGATTGAGACTCTGTCACCACAAGGAGGTATTGTTTGTAAGTCAAGTTGCAAATTGCAGGCTCATGAAAGCTGCATGGAACCAAGATGATTGTACTTGGCAGTAGGGTGCTGCTGTAAGGTGGTTGGAGTTGTGTTTTTTGGAGTGGTTCCAAAGGTTGCAGCGGTCACCTCACCCACAACTGCTGGATGTAGTGTGGTGTAGTGCTGTTGTAGTTGTAGTGTAGTGGAGTTGCAGTTGTAGTGTAGTGTAGTGTAGTGTGGTGTAGTTGTAATTAGTGTAGTGTAGTTGTAGTTGTGGTGTGATGTAATTAGTGTAGTGCATTGTAGTGTAGTGTAGTTTTTCAGTAGTGCACTGTAGTGTTGTGTACTGTAGTGTAGCACAGTGTAATGCAGTGTAGTCTGAAGTAGCGTAGGTGTAGTTGCAGCTGTAACTGTAGTGTAGTGCAATGAGTGTAGTGTAGCGTTGTGTAATGTAGTGTGTGTGTAGTTGCAGTTGTAGTGGTAGTGTAGTGTAGTGTAGTGTAATTAGTGTAATTAGTGTAATTAGTGTAGTGTAGCGTCATGTAGTGTAGTTGTAGCTGTGGCTGTAGTTGCAGTTGTAGGGGTAGTGTAGTGTAGTGTAGTGTGATTAGCGTAGTGTAATGTAGCGTAGTGTAATGTAGCGTAATATATATTTGCATGTGCAGTTGTAGCGGTGGTAGTAGTGTAGCGTAGTGATAGTTGCAATTGCAGCCGTAGTTGTTGTTATAGTTGTCTATCACTATGCTTATCTGCAAGCTTGAAAACGAAGCTAGTCTGCGAGACTTCCTGAGTTTTTGACCTTGGCAACATCAAAAACGCAGCAATTCTCCGAGACTTCCTGAATTTTTGAACTTGACAACGTCAAAAACGAAGCAATTCTGCGAGACTTCCTCAATTTTCGAAGTTGACACAAAAACGAAGCAATTGCAATTGTGCGAGACCTCCTTCAAAAATGGAAAGTTGAGCGCAGAGCTGACGCGATTTTTCTATTCCACCTGTCTAAAGTACTTGCGCCTGCCACGCGAAACCACATCTGAACGTAGAAGGGGCCGGAACATGTGGTGTTTTTAGCATTTTGACTTCGAAATGTGCTTCGTGCCACAACGACGTGCACTTTTTCGACATCTCAACTTCAAAAAGTGCTCCGAACCTGGTGTGTTTTGTGCATTTTGACTTGGAGGAAATGTGCTTCGCGCCAAAACGGCATATATATATATATGCATGCATATATATTATATATAGTTACCTAATTTTTAAGGGTGTTTTTGACATTGATATGTTGGAACTGGAAATGGGAGGATGCGAAGCTCGACGATCTCAGGACAGCAAGCGGCAGATGTGTCATGCAGATCTTGATTTTGCAGTAGAGGATGCTGCCTGGGCAGCCTGGTTGGCATGTGGACGGCGAGCCCCGAAGGCGCATCCAGTACCACGAGCCACAGCCGCAGTAGAGCAATGCAAACCGTTTACCGTTCACCTCAATGTCCTACGTAGGCAATCTGAAGAGACCGACCCAGCAGAGCCACACATTTTCACTATATATCATTTGCTGAACTACCATGATTTTGCTTCCCAAGTCACGTTCCTCGATGTCAAGGTAAGCGACGCCGGGCATAGGCCTGCACAACCTTTCAAAACTTCATGCCGATATGCCCATTCTGCACTAATCTGTGCTATGCTAATTACTCTTGGTTTGGATCCTTCATGCAGCAGATGGAGACGGTGATGCACATGAAATCACGGTGACAACTTCGTGACGACTGCCCTTTTCTAGCACAGCACAGCGTTGTACGTGCAGCCTGCCCTCGCGCTTCGACCTGTACAAAGTGGTTTGGATATGTTGGGAATTCTTGAAGGATTTGAAGGTCCGGGAAGCACAGGACCACACGAGACCCAAGCTACCGCCTTGAGTGCCAAACGTGGCAAAAAGGAATTGCTGCTTCAAAAGATTGAACATGCACAGGTTCTTTATATCATGTCAACAGTCAACATGTCAACTTGTCAACGTTTTCGCTGGGGGTTTTGTGTCTATTGAAATTCAATGCTCAGCAGCGTCTCGAACAAACCTTGCTTTGACATGCAGTTTCTCTGATCGGCTCCATCCAGGATGGCACGAGTCCTGTCGCCTCAGGAGCTGTGCCAGTAGCAAAAGCAAGATAGACTTGCTTCCGACCAAACGAATCAAAGAGAAATGGCGATCCGTTATTTTCAATTCAAGGAATTGAGAACCTTGATTCCCCAGCTGCGAATGTTTTTATGCACACCCTCGACTAGCTGCTGAGGAGACAGCTGCTGCAGAACAAGTTTTTCGGTACTTGCATCGTGCAGGCACACCCAACGAAGACAGTGGCTTTAAGAGGTGGTGAGAGATGTGAGAGTTGAACATGAAAAAAGACGTGGAGCGGCGTGGTGGCTACCCTGGGAGATAGTAAACTACTTGAACCCTTTTGAACGCAACGCTGAGACTTGAACAATGAAGTTGGCGAGCTTTGGCTCGGGTAGGAAGGAGTGAACTCGTTCCGTTCTCCTGGATGCAAATGTACTGTTCACCTTGGTCGTGTTGCAGGGGGCTCTGCGGATCTGCATTATGTCACTGGCAAGAGCGGCTCTCAGCAACACTTGTAGAAACATATTGCATTCCAGGTCCTAGCCGCTAGGTCCTAGCCAGCCTCGATGTTGATGCGAAGAAAATGCAGATATTTCCATTTGTCAAAGGCTTTTGTCGTTCCTGGCCGCATAAGGTATGGATGCAAGAAGAAGATGTTGCTGGATTTTGCAGGGGTCGCAGATTGGGTGTTACAACGGGCTTTTGATGCCAACATTGGCACATCGGTTTAATGAAGCGAACCTTTTGACAGAAGTGTGTAGTATTGAATTGCAATTATTGCCAAATTCCTGAATCTTGACAATTTCTCTGGTGTGAAGTTCTGAAGAATGACAGGTAACCTGAATAATTGATTAGTTATATAATTGGTGCTGATCGATTGCCAGCGATGCGACAATGTGCTGTCCCATGTATTCCAGACATTGGTTTGTCTCCGATTCTCTGGCAATTCCAGGAAGGAGGGAGCATCTTTGAAGCTGATGGAGATCGAATCAAGCTGAAAGGCACGTCATGCTGTCAGGTCAACACCAAGGCCGTTGTCATTTGTTGTACTTTGGTATCCATCACTATCCATCAGTATCCCATGTTGCCCAGGTGGTGCTTTTGCTGTTGCAGCCGCCGCTGCAGCCGCGTGGTGCTCAAAGATGTTGCTACTTTCGATGTGCACTGCTTTGGAAGAGATTTGCTGGTAGGTTCTGTGAACATGTGCCATGTACCATCTCACTACCGACACTTGAAACTCACACACGCACATATATTATACGATATTATATATAGTCATAGTAGATGTAGATAGAGAGAGAGAAAGAGAGAGAGATAGATAGATAGATAGAAAGATCGAAAGATAGATAGAACGATAGAGAGATAGATAGAGAGATAGATAGAGCGATAGATAGACAGATAGATAGAGCGATAGATAGAGAGATAGATAGAGATAGATAGACAGTGAGAGAGAGATTGATAGAGAGATAGATAGAAAAAGAGAGAGAGATAGATAGATAGATAGATAGATACATAGCTAGCTAGATAGATAGATAGATAGTTACATAGATAGAGAGAGAGAGAGAGATATAGATAGGGAGAGAGAGAGAGATAGAGAGAGAGAGATAGATACATAGAAAGGTAGATAGATAGATAGATAGAGA